GGGAATATTTGTGACGTCTCTCCTGAGGATGTACTAATATTCCTGATCGTCTTTGGCGACTTTAATCTGCTTCTACATTTTCTTGATGTCAGTTATCATCACATATTTCCATTGTCGCAACTTGATCAAAATATCAGGGATGTTCTTTTTATTTTGGGGCCGACTAGCATCACATAATTTAGACTAAATCCATTGGTGGGTTTTGTTGAGGTGTGGATTATATTATTTGCTTTGGCCAATAGTGTCTACAGGTTCCATGTGACCTATCTGCAAGTATTGTTACATAAAGGCACTGTATTACGTGAACATTTGCGGATGCTTCCTGATTTTTTTTACATTTGCAGTAGTCATGCCTGTTTTCGGGAATTTCTTAATTCGAAATGTGTTCGGAATGGTGTGGAGACTACTAACCGGACTTCTTCATACTTTGTGGTTAATTTTTGGAACAACTTTCACAATAATTGCTATTTTCCGCCTCGCTGTTGTTACTTTAAAGGTCTAAAAAGCGGTCGAGGTCGTCCAGGCATATCGTTGATGATGCAGTGCTTATCGGGTTTCTTGATAATCTAACTATATTGCCGAAAGCAATCCATCCAAGTTCAATCAATTTTGTCCCAGTATTTTGTTGATATTCTTTATTTTTGTCAACATAATTAGGGGGAATAAATCAACACCAATAACAACATCAGTTCTACTGGGCTGGTTAAAATATGGCTCAGATAGCTCTCAGCCCATCCAATCCTTATTCGCATCCATGGTAATTTTATTGCTAGGTAGATCACTTTAAACTTTATGTATTAATTATTCTTACGTTATTATTTCTAAGCAGATTTACTTTGTGTACTGCGCCACTAGGTTCTCATAGCGAAAATACTCCTCGCAGAAAGTCTTTTCACTCTTGGACTTCAAGTAGTCCCATGTTCATTGCCACTTGTTATTATAGTTGAAGCAATGTGTGTCCTTAAGTTGCTATGGGGCAATGTTTAAGCTTCTTTTTCCACCGGAAGCAACTTCTTCAGATAAACGTTCTGCAAACACACGCATCATCTTGTGGCGTTTTCAAAGCATAGCTGAGTGTGTAAGCTTAAATCTGGCTTTCTCTCGATAAGATTATTCAGAAGTTCGTCTTCGTCTAAGCAGAGGTTGCGTGCTCATTTAGTACAGAACGAACTTTTCATTAGACTTCAAAATGCGTACCTCGAATTTAAGACGTATGTCGGCTTAATACTTGTTGCCTTCAAATGCTGCCTTTAACTGATTCAAAAACTCATTCAGTGGCTTAATAATTTGTGATGGATCTGACTGCATCGAATGCATGTACATCAATTTTCGTTGGATGTCCGTCGATGAATAAAACTTACTGACATTTTCCAATTCTCTAGTCAGTAAATTGAGAAACTAGAACATTAACAATGTCAATGGACAGTTTTTTGCGTGTGATATATTTAAAGCTTCGTGCAATATAGCGACTTGACTCGGCGGCATGATAGTATGCGTTGTTGGTACATTCAATCTGCGATTCTGCGCCATCGTTGCTGATCGTTACTTTACAGCGCACAGTTTATTGTCTTGCTTTAACTGCCGCAGATCTGTAAAGCGACCTTTTTATTGTTTCATCAGCTATAGCTAAATTTGCTAGCCTTTAGAGATTTCCATCTGCATCATCTACATCTGCAGTGTTTGAGATGCTTCGGTGATATATGTCCTCAGCTTGCTCGATGTTAGATACGTTGCCAAACCCAAACCAGCTAACCATTATTTGAATGGAGTAACTCAAACTTTATTTATATTAATGTCCATGATGAGTTGGTTTAACTGTTAAGCAAACTCTTACTTTTTCAAATTCAACATTTTGTAAAATTTTTTGAACTTCATCGTTCTGTTTGAAGTGATCTACGGCTCAGTTTAAGCTGCTGTGCTGCTTCTTTAGATATTAGAGCTTTGCTGCGAACCTCTATCAATATGAGCCATTAGCAGCTCGTATTTTCGTATTATTTCTGTTATTTTGAGTCCGAATAAGCGCAGTTTCAGCTAAGACAATTGCTGCTGACGGTCTCTTGCATGTTTGCAGCCTCGTGAAGATAATCGTTGTGTGGTTTGTAGCATTGATAGCTCGTTTGCATTTCTATTGAATTATACAGTTGCTCAATAAACTCCAGCACATTGTCCAAGTGCTGAATTTCTCTGTTAAGAAGGCTTAACATGATGCTCGTAAAGTTGAACGAATTCTTCTCAGAATTGTTGTGAGTGAATAAAACATCAGTATTATTATCAATTTAGCATTTTTTATACTCTGATCCTGTTTCAAATGGAAAATCGGGGTGTAATGGATTTGTGCAAATGTTTGTAACAGGTAGAAGGGGGCTTGGAAGACCCCATAAAGTATATATATTCTAGATCAGGACGACAAGTTGAGTCGATTAAGCCCTTTCCGCCTGTCTGTCCGTTAATCTGTCGATATGTGTGAACGCGTCGATCTCAGCATCTAGGTTTAATCAATTAAAAACATCATCAAAATGCAGTTGTTAAATTATATAATGTACGGCTTAAGAGCTAGAACATCATTTCTTGTATTTAGGTTTATGTATATTCTCTTCAATTATATTTTGGGTACTGGCTCAAAATTTACCCAAAATTCGTAAAATTTACGTTCAGTTGGTAATAGGGTCATTAGGTGACGGCGGTTGCAGCTCTACCAAGTCAATAGAATATGTAGATCATATACTGAAATTTCATTAACATCCATTAAGTAAAACAGAAGTTATTAAACAAAACGTTTTGCCAATTTTGCATTTTCATTTTTCCTATGCGTGTGCACACATACATTCAAAAGCGTGTATTCTTTTCTATTCGAAGAATCGAAATTGCTATTGAATTGTGCTGAATTAGCTGCTACTTAACTTCAAGTATACAACTTCTTACATAAGCAGCATTGGTACAGACGGCGCCCGTTAGCGGTTGGTCCTGAGTTCAAGCCTCGTGGCGATGGGACATTTTTTATTGTTTTTTTTTTTATTTTTATACCCTGATCCCATTAAAAATGGGAAATCAGGGTATAATGGTTTTGTGCAAATGTATGTAACAGGCAGAAGGAGGCGTGGCAGACCCCATAAAGTATATATATTCTTGATCAGGACGACAAGCCGAGTCGATTGAGCCCTGTCCGTCTGTCTGTCCGTCCGTCTGTCCGTCTGTCCGTATGTGTGAACGCGTGGATCTCAGCATCTATAAGAGCTAGAGACTTGAAATTTTTTTTGTAGGTCCGTGTATAGCACGCGCAGGTCAAGTTTGTTTCAAATATTCGATAACTATTCGCATTTAATTGTTATCGAATAAAAACATTATTGAAATGCAGTAAATAAATTATATCTCGAACGTCTTCAGAGCTAGAGCCTCCGAAATTTGTATTTAGTTTTATGTATATTTTATGCAATTTTGATTTTTGTTAGATTTTGGATACCGGCTCCAAATTCCCCCAAATTCTTAAAATTTAAGTTTAGTTGGAACTAGGGCCATTATGTGAAGGCGTTTGCATCTCAACCAAGCCAATAGGATATGTAGATCATATGCTCAAAATTTCATTAAAATCCATTAAGTAAAACAGAAGTTATTAAACAAAACGTTTGGTCAATTTGCAAAAGCACATGTCAGCAGCGCCACGCGCACTCATTTTTCCTATGCGTGTGCACACATACATTCAAATGCGTGTATTCTTTTCTATTCCAAGAATTGAAATTGCGATTGAATTGTGCTGAATTATTAGCTGCTACTTATGTTTAAATTTGCAACACTTCGCGTATGAAGGACAGTGGCTGCGTTGGTAGAGAGGCTGCTCGCATGCAGCTTGGTCCGGGTTCGAGACCAGTGGAGATGAAATGTTTTTTATTGTTTTATTTTTTTTTAGTTATGAAGTGGCGGTGTTGGTATAGTTTGTGCACATTGCGTAAATAATCCGGGTTCGAATCCTGGTCTCGCAATGTCGATTTTTATTTGTTTTTTTTTTTTTTCTTAATACTCGATACAAACTACGGAAAATATTACAAAACTCAAAGGACTGGGATCAGGGTATCTCCTAGTCGGGCACCCCGACTAGAGCTTTCTTACTTGTTTAATTATGAAGTATCGGTGTTGGTGCACGTTGCGCAAACAATACGTGTTCGAAACCTGGTCTCGTAATGTCATTTTTTATTTGTTTTTTTTTTTTTTTTTTTTTTTTGAATACTCGATACAAACTACAAAAAATATTAATAAACGCAGATAGGACTGGGATCAGGGTATCTTCTAGTCAGGCACCCCGACTAGAGCTTTTTTACTTGTTTTTTATAGAAGTAAAGGGCCCGATCTAATACGAACTTAGTGGGACCAGATGTACTAATGCTATGCATTAAAAAAGTTTGTCTATGTGTTGTGTGGTTAGTTTTAGAGCGTATACACTTGTCATTTTCAACTCGGACACTTACCTGTTGTCTTAATTCGTAAATTCATATGGGGTATATTGATTAAAGTAATTATTGACCTACCCTCGGATCGCTGTATATATTTTAATTCCCAGAACATACATACTAATATAAGTAGTATACATATATTTATATATATAATATATATGTATAAATATGTATGTATACGTATACCACAGTTTACCTATAACGTATCTGTACTTGTAAATACATACTCGAACGAATATATACATATATATATGTATTTACATTTCCATGTACATGGGAGGGTATAAGTTCGATGATATTGATGGGTATACACACCAAACAATTTTATGTATATTTGTGGTGTGTTTACAGATAAATATGACTATAAACATTTAACATATGTATGTATAGTGTATATATATTTGTATACATACATATATATATATATAAATACATATATATGTATGCATGTGTGTGTATGTATGCATATATGGATGGATATTTATTTATATTGCTATCCACTTTTTCAGTCGTTAAGAGCTCATGCATTCAGTTAGACTCAAGAGGCCCATTTACTCCAACGTCTTTTCATAGTGTGCGGTATCAATCAGCGATAAGATATATTTCTTATATGCATGTGTACATACAAACCCACAGAGCATACATACACCTAAGCCAATGAAAAGTATATGTTCCACTAATTGGGTTAAAAAATATTGTGATTATCTCAGATGTGTGTGAAGTTGGCTTTAATGTATTTAATTTTAAGTTATGCACTTACAAATATCAATTCCATCAAAATATGCTGCAATCCTCAATCAATATTATACAAAATCCGTGGATCGAATAACTTAACTACTTATAATTGCACTCATACCATCGAAAGTCTAAATGAAACAGACAATGCAAACAGAATTGACTTGCTCGGGATAACAGAAAGTCCACACGGCTATGGCTTAGATAAAATTGATGAAACAGTTGGCCATACGGAGTTACTACAATGTGCGCATACTGGTTATTCAAATGTGTCCCTATTGACTGAAATATCACTTAAGGTATTACCAAAATCATGCCTTATTATTATAGACAGCAATAGTCTTGTTAGTCTAACATGTAAATCGAAAAATGATGATAAGTTGCAAAGTATTGGTATTATAAATAAATGCTGTGCGCATGGATACACCTTTGCCACAGAAGTAAACAAATGCTATTTACAAGAGCCCGACTACAATAAATACTCTTCCCTTTTTGATAAACCAGTGATTTTTGTCGATAATTCGTTCGTGTGTCCCAAGAACAAAGTTTTAATTGAATATGTGTTAACGGCGGAAGCAATTGCCATAAGGAATGAAAGTATTTTACTCAAAGAACATAAAAGATCATTTAATAAAAGTGAATTTTGCATTGAAGCTATTGAAATGCTGAATAAAAACGAAAGTTCTCAAATCAAAACTACTCAACAATTTATAGTTCGTACTTGTCAACAATTAAAAATTTGTGATTCGATACCTTGTGTTCGTAAGTGTTGTGTCGATGGCGAAATCTATTCTAAAGGAAATTTGACTACTTCCTGCAGAAAAGATGAATATGATTTTCAGTTTCATAGTCTTAATAATATGAATACCAGCGGCGCTTTTTCCAAACCGTCAGGTATGTGCAATTTGATAAGTTTGTTTATTGTTAATAAATAAGTGATATATTATCATATTCAATTTGCAAATCATTCTATGTAAGTGTAAGTTGGAGCACATAAGCATGTTGCCGAGATCGACGCGTTGACACATACAGACAGACAGACCGACGAACAGGGCTCAATCGATTCGGCCATTATACGGACATGGCTAGACTCAGCTCGTTGTCCTGATAAGAATATATATATTTTATAGTTATACTCTGCCATTTTCAATGGGTTCAGGGTATAAAAAGAAGAAAAACTGACATTAGGACATCAGGCCTCGAACCAACATAACCTACGCAACCCACATCACCTATACCAATACCGCCACATTTACTATTCACCTAGTCGGGCATCACCGACACAAGCTTTCTTACGGGTTTTATTTATCATGCTTATAAGAAGAGAATATAGTTTGTGAAGTCAGAAATAAATATACAGCTAAAGGGAAATTATACAAAACCAATGTACTCTCTTTACTTGGTGAATGAATACAAAGAAAAAGATCGATTCAGTCAATAGCACAAATAACTGAATTCATAAGTATAAACACATTTCTCACCAAAATACCAACACAACAGGGGAGAACGGAATAAGGCGCCACAAAATATAAATAACTAACGTTGCAATCGGCCTTTACTGACTGCCTAATATCCGTTCAGTCAAAATATATAAAGGTGCCTTACATATACTTTATTAAGATGTTAAAATTAATTAGAATCGAAATCTTAGCCGAATGAGTATATATGTATGTACATCCTAAATTTTTGTACCATAAGCCAATGTAAATGGGAATTGTTAAATTATAGTGCCTTCTTAAACTATGTTTGTTCTTGATCAAGAAGAAAACTTAATCTAGCCATATCAGTGTGATATTGTAAGACACAAAATCTAAAAATTTAAAAGCATAAATATATATTGCTGTACATATATTTTTATATTTTCTTAAAGTAAAACTTGTATATATATTTTAAACATTAAAGATTTTTGCACTTATATGAATCTGCTTATCTTACTCTTAAATTTAAATTAATGTCACCAAGAAGAAAACTTATCCAACAATTTAGTTCCCACAGATAATCTCAAGCGCATTATGTGACTGTAACTGTACGCATAAAAGAAGCGTAAAATGATTAGAATAGTAGCTCTTCAGAGCAGCAGGGTTCAGGGTATCTTCAAGTCGTGCACTCCCGACTAGGGCATGCTCATGTGACTTCCTACTTTATTCCAGTTAGAATTTATTGCTGACATAAACAAGTTTTTTTTTTATTTGTTGGAGTCTTTAATTGGTCATAATTAATAAATTAATTAGTTAGAATCAAATTGCATATGTCGTTTATTTTTATAAGCATATCATTTTATTAATCAGGCTTAATATTTATATGCCAATAAGAACAAGTAAGAATGTTATAGTAGGGAGTTATTTATTGCGCAATACTAATTCACAGGCTCGGTCCACAGTCACGGGCAAGCTTTGGATTTGTACTATTTGGCATGCCCTTAGTGGGCGTGGATGTATAATATCCTTACAAAAAGTCTGTGGTAACATAACTATACAATTGTGGAGCTTGGGCTCTAAAAACGTGAAAATTTCAGGGTAATTCCTAGATACCACGCGTAAATTTTGTATCGATGGAGGTCGAAAGAAACTCAATAAACGAATTTTGAACTTAGAAAATATATGTTTGTGGTTTGCCAGTACGTCTATGTTATTTTTATGCGGTTTCAGCCGGAAATATATATTCTAAATTCAAATCTAGCGCTCTCTACTGTTGAAAATATATTGTATTGTACAAGCATTTTTATCAAAATGATTTTATTCTTTTAAAGCTTGTTCTTCAGCAAACAAAAAGAATGGATTAGAAATACAACAATTTAAATAATAGTTATTTTCTTTGATTATTGAATTAAATAACATTTATTTTTACAATATTTTTTCAGTATTTGGAGTCTTAACTGGACTAGAGTGCCCAAAGTTTCGTTTGGATCCAGAGTCTTTTTCGGATGAGTTCCATGTAATAAGTTCAACTACAGGATCGTTGCTCATTACTAGCACAAATAAAATTTACTCCAACAGTCAATATTGCATTGAGAAAATAAAAAATGCTTCATCCGCAGACCAAAAGGTATAATCTGAAATTTATACTTATTGCTAAAAATAATTTCTTCGCTTTACCATTTAAGTTAAACTTATTTAGGGACCATCAAATTATTAATTTATGCACCAAAGTGTAATTACAGTATATGAGCAAAGCCTAAGTTATTAACTTGAAAAATTAAACGGATATACTACGGTTTAGAACCCATAACACAAATAGTGTTGCGCATAACATCCGACTCATTCAAAATGTTTGCTTCCGCTTCTTAACTTTCAGATGTAATGGCAGTGATAGTTGAGAAGATTGAACAATTTCATTGTTTCAATTTCAAAACGACAGCTAGATCTACCAGCTTACCGATACGGTTAATCGGGTCATAAAAGCAAATGATGGCATTGTTTACCAGAAATAGAATGTTAATAGCAGAAATTCAAAACTTATCGCCCTGAATTAACAAACTGTAATACAACCTACACATTATTCTACAAACCGACCCCTCGCTACAAGTGCGCACCCGGCCTACTGACAGAAGACACACTGCCACTCAGTTCAGCCATTTGGAATGGCACATTTCTCATCATCTTTGAGCGTTAACTAATTATAATCGAACCTAAGTACGTGAATCGCCGCAAGGCCCTAAGTAAGATCACTGGCATAGTTTAAACTTTAGTGAATGTAATTAGCTTTGGTCCAGGGCTAATCATGTTACTTCTCTGTAGGATGACCAACCACAGTTGCCGAGTTGCCGTTGGATTTCTCAAATTTCCTGTTTCAGAGTCTCAGGAAAAAAAGAGCTTCTAGGGAAATACAAAAGGTCGTCGACAGTTTTAAGATCAACGCGAACAGTCATACTTCTGAGGGTAGTAGTCAACGGGTGCCTCGCTCATTGTAGTTTAGTGTTTTATTTATTATTTATTTTAAGTATTGGCAACAGCTAACAATTATCAAAGTGCTGACACAAAACATTTTTTTAACATGATAAAAACGATTCGATGTCTGTTATTTTAAAGACTCAATAGCTTACATAGGATAGATTCACAAAAAAGTGTTTTATATTATCAAGATACTCTTTGTTACACCGTGTGTATGACTACGATTATTATAGTGGTATTATTCTCTAAACCCCGTAAAACCTTGACTACAAAATAATTTAATAATTATTACACGCATATGCCATTTTTTTCAGTTGTACACATTCTTGTGCTTTGACGGCAAAGTAGTGAGCAATGATCGCATACGATTTAGAATGTACCCAGTTGGCCTTTTAATATCCTGCTGCTTTTATGTAATAACCCTACTGGTGTACACAACAATCGAAAAATTGAGAAATCTCCCTGGAAAAATTCTAATTTGCTTAGTGAGCAGCCTTCTCTTCGCCTACCTTGGAATCGCTTTAGGTCAATTGCTGCCTACTTCAAACAATGACATTTGCTTTATGTCTGGTAAGTCTATCAGAATTCTGCTAAGATAACAATATTGTGTATTAGAAATCATTATTCATGCTTATGAATAATTATTATGCTTTTGAGCTTATGAGCTATTATGAGCTACTATGGAACTTTAATTGAATAACTTTTGTTCGAAATTTACTTTAGTAATGAAATTTTCTGGGCGTAACAATGGCATGTGTGCATTTACCAAATTTTCCAATCCTAAACAGAAAATTGAGAATATCTTTGCTTTTATTTCCTGAATCTGGGCCGATCTAGAAATGTCCGTCTGCTCGTATGTATGAGCGCGTCGATTTCAGAAACATTACAGAAAGGCTAAGTAATACCAAGTTTGTTGAAAATAATAAAGAAATATTCCCATTTGAATGTAATCGCTTAAAAACGTCATCGAATATTAGTTATTAAATAATGATGTAAGAGCATAAACAGGTTATTGACACCACCTCCTGACGTCGTCTTCTTCATAAGGATCAGGATATTTCCCAGTCGAGTCCCGTCTCGATTAGAGCACTCTACTTAATTTTGTTTGTGGTCTAACATGCTTTTTAATTGTAAAAACCAGAGTTAGAAAATTTGCATATATTAATGGAATATAAGTATAAGTATAAGTATTGGTATATTTAAAAACGACAAAACGAACTAAGCGAACGGGGTTCAGCGTATCTCATAGTAGAGCACACCGGTCTAGAACTTGCTTGAGTTGTCAATCTGAATATATGTTCCCAATTTGAAATCTCCAATATTTTAAATAATATCCTTTCTGGAAAACCAAATATAATATTTCCAGCATTGCCATTCCTCTAGTGTGCGCATCGGGAAATCTTATTAGGCGAGGGTATCCACTAGAATATGTGCCACATTTCAAGTCTCTAGGTTTAAAGCTGCAAAATGGACAGACAGCTAGGGAAGCATATTTTTTCAGAGAGTTTGCGCTTTTCGGGAATAAGTTCAATTCATTCAGGTCTCTCAATTCATTCAGGTAACTTGATCTACACTGATAAAGCCTTTATATTCAATTTACGATTATACTCAAAATACTAAGTTGATCGAGTGTAGAGGCATGAGACAACGCTGGTTAATACTTTTATAAATTTAATTTAACTTAATTTAATTTTAGGTGATGTAATTTTCAAGAGATGTTAATTTATTTTCAAAGAAATTACTTACCAATTTGAAAGTACTAAATCTTCATATCGAGAAAAGTGTACTTGTGCTGCATACTGTATACTATGAAATATTTTTATAATAGTTTTTAGTTTGTTTAAAGTATATACTTTAAGCTTTGACGAGTATTATACAATCGTATACATTTTTAATTTAAATTACATTTTCTTAACGATATACTCTTTCTCAAATTTGTAGGGTTTTTTGTATACTTTTTTTTAATGGCCGCATTCTCCTGGATGAATATTACATGTTTCGACATATGGAAGACATTCGGGTATGATACTACAGTAAATAATATTATATATTTTCTTAAATTTAATTTATTAAATATCACATCCTTATAGAGCAACTAAGCGTATTCTCTTCTGCTTTAATAGGAAGGACTCTTTATTCAACTTCACAATGATTTAACAATGATGTAAATTAACTCCAGCTAGGAACTGAATTAGTTACATTTGGTTTTACTATTTACGTCATAAATAGTGTATTTGTGCTCGAAGCATTGCATAAAATCAAAAGGCAACAATTAAGACAGAAAAAAATGGACGGTTAGTGAAAAAATTTAAGAACAAAAATCCCAAGGCACCACCAGATTCAGAACCTTCAACTGCAATATCATTTTCAAAATTCGCCACTTTATTACAAAAGTATCAGCTGAAAATTTAAATTGCAGCCTCTTTGATTTGAATGGATGTGTCCACATGTATAGCAGAAATGCCAAAATTAGCGCGGATAATATGGATCTATGGTCATTAAATATATTCTTATCGTTTACGTGAAGAAAAAATAAATAGTAGTAGTAGTAGTAAAGTATATGGTCGATGCGTTGAGGACGAGAAACTTTTTGCAAAGCTTGGGAACTCATTGCAGTCCCGGTGCCACTGAGAGATGCATGCGCGCTTTTTTTCAACTACCGGCACTACAAGCTATTAAACAATTAATTTCCAACAGTAAATTAACCTCCTAATAACAGATCTGCGAAAGTTTCAGAGTATGGATTTCTCACTCACCTCCAGCTCGAACACTCTTACTTCTTATTAAATAAATTATTAGCCATTTATCAAACATGAACAATTTTATAAGTAGTTTTAAACTTTACAAGGCGAGTTAGAAACGAATTGTTTACTTTTATAATTCCACTTGATTTTATCATGTTCTAACTCGAACTTACTAAGCCGGTAATGCTGCTTGCCACGTGTTTTTATAAATTGATCAAACGATTTGTTTAATTCTTTTGTGTTACTCAACGGATTTCAACGATCATATTTGAATATTTGAGAACTTAGTATGTATGAAAATATGCTCGCGTTTTAGGTATGTTTGCAACTGAAATTCAATTTAAAGAATTTTTTGGCATGTGGAACCGGTATTCTAATTATAAGTGTACGAGTGCACCTTTAGGCCTGTTTACAGATATTTTTAAAATTAAAACCAAAATGCTTGCTTGTTTGTTTTTTCTTAGAAAAGAGGATAGAACGTGTTACAAAAGTATTAATTTATCCAGTTTGTTAACTTCATTATAGCAAAAATTATTTTGAATTTTTGAATATACCTAATATGCTTTAAATTCTGTGAAAGAGTTTTCACATTTTCACTAAACTGGTAAAATAATATGTAGATCATATGTAGAAAATCATATATATGAAATCCTTAAAAAAAGTAACTCTGAAGTTATTAAGCAAAACGTTTTGGACATTAAGCTAAAATACGTGGCAATCAGCGCCAAACGTACGCATTCTTATATATGCTTTTATATGTTTTGTCCTTTTTAATTTTTATACCCTGATCCCATTGAAAATGGGAAATCAGGGTATAATGGTTTTGTGCAAATGTATGTAACAGGCAGAAGGAGGCGTGGCATGCGTCGATCTCAGCATCTATAAAAGCTAGAGACTTGAAATGTAGGTCCGTGTATAGCACGCGCATATCGAGTTTGTTTCAAATCTTCGATAGCTATTCGCATTTAGTTGTTATCGAATACAAACATGATTGAAATGCAGTTAATAAATTATATCTCGGACGTCTTAAAGCTAGAGCCTCCAAATTTTGTATTTAGTTTTATGTATATTTTATGCAATTTTGATTTTTGTTGGATTTTGGATACTGGCTCCAAATATCCCCAAATTCTTAAAATTTAAGTTTAGTTGGAACTAGGGCCATTATGTGAAGGCGTTTGCATCTCAACTAAGCCAATAGGATATGTAGATCATATGCTGAAAATTTCATTAAAATCCATTTAGTAAAACAGAAGTTATTAAACAAAACGTTTGGCCAATTTGCAAAAGCACATGTCAGCAGCGCCACGCGCAATCATTTTTCCTATGCGTGTGCACACATACATTCAAATGGGTGTATTCTTTTCTATTCCAAGAATTGAAATTGCGATTGAATTGTGCTGAATTATTTGCTGCTACTTATGTTCAAATTTGCAACGTTTCGCGTAAGAAGGGCAGTGGCTGCGTTGGTAGAGGCGCCGCTCGTATGCAGCTTGGGCCGGGTTCGAGACCAGTGGAGGTGAAATGTTTTTTATTGTTTTATTTATTTTTTTTAGTTATGAAGTGGCGGTGTTGGTAGAGTTTGTGCACGTTGCGCAAATAATCCGGGTTCGAATCCTGGTCTCGCAATGTCGATTTTTATTTGTTTTCTTTTTTTTTTTTGAATACTCGATACAAACTACGGAAAATATTACAAAACTCAAGGGCCGGGATCAGGGTAACTCCTAGTCGGGCACCCCGACTAGAGCTTTCTTACTTGTTTTTATTTTTCAAACTACCGATAAAAGCTATGGAGTATCTCCAAGTCGGGCGCAACTAGTGCTGTCTTACAAGCTTTACTTGATTTTATAAAACGGTAAAATGATGCAAAAAGAACATCAGACACATTTGACAAGAATGCTGAAAACAATATATAAAAAATTTGCAATATATCGGATAACAACGATTTACCTTAACCCCATTCTAGGACGGATTTCCTTTAAATAAAAATGAAAACAATACAATAAAATGCAAAATATATAACGTCTCGTCTGCTATAAAATGGGAGCTGTAAACTGCAGAAGCGTAGCATAGAAAGTTCTCGGTCATTTGCGGATCAGCCTGCGTGCTTATACAAAAAACGTAGAATAATTAATAATTAATAATTAATTCAGGAAGAATAGAGCCCTTTTATTTATTTTTAATTCACTAATTAATTGTCGATACTACCTGCTGCAGTTACAATAACAGTTTCGTTATCATGTCTTCTATCCATTAACTTACAGTAAATTGTGGGTAAGCGCATTGTCGAAATCCTCTTTATATAGTTGTAGGTACCATTATCTGCAACATATTTAATTTTTTTGTATTCGCCCATTTTTTGAAGTAATAACATCAATAAGACTATTTAAGACTATTTTGGATATGGAGACTCCTATAAACAAACCCCTACGAAAACTGTAAAATCGATAAATGTATCTACGCTTTTGAAAATAGGGCAAAACTATTATAAAAAAATTAGATCTACCAAAGTTTTGGAGGTGAAGCATCTAATAATGTAATGTAATGTAAATGGATCGTGGCCAACCGAAAACCCCTATATCTCTATATAAGGTTACGTTAAAATCAAACCTAATTTCGAATGAATATTAATGTTAGTCTCCTCCATAGATGGAGCTATATATATTATATTAAATGTAGATCAATTTTTACATGAGAGCAACAATATTTCTTTTATATTTTATTACAGATCTACCGAATCAACAAATATAATAAAACGAGCACAGCATCGACGATTTTTGTGGTACTCTTTATACGGCTGGGGAATGCCCACCGTTTTGACATCAATTACAGCATCACTAAGTAAATCCGATGTCTTACCAGAAAATATTCGACCTATGTTTGGACACGGCAGATGTTGGTTTACCTGTAGGTTCACATATTTACCTTTTATTAAAAGCTTCTTTTATTTCGAAGGTTCACATATTTTCCTTTTAATAAAATATAATTTTTTTCGTACATATTTTAAATTTCAGATGATACAATTGGATATGCAAGTTTAGTGTTTTTTTCTGGACCTCTTGGTCTACTTTTTATCATAAATCTTGTGCTCTTTCTGTTAACATTGAAGTATTGCAACAAAGTAAAAAGGGAAATATTTAGGATGCAGAGCTCAAATACTGAAAAGCATACATTGAGAAGCCGTTTCTTTATGGATAAAACAAGATTTATAATGAACACAAAGCTCTGTTTTGTAATGGGAATTACATGGCTTTTGGAAATCGCAAGCATTTTGTTGTACGATCATAAAAAAAACTTTTTTTGGTCAATTAGTGATTCATTCAACGTTTTGCTGGGCGTCTTTGTTTTTATAATATTCGTTTTTAAAAAACGGGTATGGAAAGAAATCATGATAAAACTAGGTAAGACAATTGAATTTAAGTTATGCTGTATGTATGTATTTTATATTAACAACTTTAAATGTGATAACAATAATATTTATTAACAAGACATATTTCTATTTACAACAAGTCCGACTAGGATTAGGGGTTCATTGTTTGACAAAGATAAAAAACATTCTTATAAGTTATCAAACTCAAATCCCAAAATCAAATTCAAACCAACGCTACGCCTTTAACATCCCCACCACTTCAAGACGATTGTATTGCCGATTAAGCAATAAAATCCTTGCAAGTTGTTGCAAAGGTGTATTGTATGTATGCGAAGATAACTTTGCCTCTTGGTGAATGACTGTAATATAAGCAACATTGGAACGCTAATTACTTTTTTATCTTCTTACATATTTTACATTCCGGAAAATTCTGAAAATAAAATTAAGTTTTTTTGTCAGATAGCCTTTATATATACAGTAGAAAATGAAAATTTATTGTTCAACTTAATAAAATTCAGTCGGGTTTTAAGAGTTCGATTGCAAGCACGATATCCTCTTTCAACAGCAACAGATTTGACTCCTTCTCCACGGGATTAATGCGGGAGGGTGAGGAGATCTAATAACACAGATAATATAGTAACCAAATTTAATTTTTGATAGATGTTTTTTGGGTATAATTACATTGTGTAAATTATGTATTATGATTAGAGCGACGAGTTGCATCATCATCCTTGTCCGTCTGTTTTGATTAAAGCCGTTGTTAAGTATTATACATTTTTATTGGATAAGCTCACTAGTGGCATGGAAACATAAACGATTATTTTTCAGCCGCATCATAGGCAAGTGACTTTAAATATATATTTTTCCAACAACGGATGTGATATATACGTGTATTATTAAAATTTTTTGCTTAATTTTTTAGTCCTATCTATACTTACATTCAGTGAAACCAAAAATGGATTAATCTTGACATTAGCTGCAGACACCTGTATTATTTAATAACTAATGTAAAATACATTTCTGTTGATAATATAGGAAGTTAGTTAAAAACAAAGATCATAAAAACGATTTATCTTAGGGACTGTACTGCGCCTCATTTTCACCTCTTTTCCACGTTTTTGTTGCGATATTATAAAAAAAAAGAAAAATTGGAATCCAAACTTATATACACCTAATAGAGAAGACATGCCTAAAGAATTTAATCCGTACAAAATAAAACAGTGATAGGTCCTAAAATTTTTAATTGGAACAGCACGATTGATACAAATAAACATATCTTTTCAACGAAATCAAAATGTGACAAAAATTTGACATGCAATTCAATAGGAAAATTTATTTTTTAAAATTATTTTTGGTTTTTTTATTATGCTAATGTATACAGCTTCGAATGCTTACTTTACATTAATCTATTTTTAAAACTATGGATTCTGGCTGGGCCTTCGATAAGTTTTCTATCAGATTCTATAATTCATTTGGCCAATTGCTCATATAAAATTTGGATTTTTACCACGTTTGCTGATAGTTGTCGTACTATATCGTGAAACACAGGGAGCTTAGTTGGCGTATCCATGAAATCTTAGTACTTTATAAATTGAGGGCTCTTATGCTCTATTTCAAGTAAATAACTCTAACTTCAAAAATAGCTATCAGCTTTGGGGACAGTAAGACGGGCATTGTACAAAGCCAATTCCCTCTTTTCCCTTACTTATTGCATAAATACTCAAAATACATTAATTGTTTTTTTTTTAGGTTTTTGGTCAACTAATGATCGGCGAAGAAATCCAAACGTGACTTCCATAACGCAATCAACGTGTCTAAATCAAAGTATATCTATGAAAAAACTTGGTGATGGTAACGTTGATAAAGCACTTATAAGATGAAGGAATTAAATGAAAATAAACTAATTAATTATTTAATTAATTATTTTTTATTTATGGTTAATTATATAAAATAAAATGTATGCCTTTGGTAAATGCGTATTTTTACTTATATCATTTTCGTTTTGGTATAATTCCTTAGATTTAATAATATCAATAAATCAAAACAAGTAAGAATGTTGCAGTCGGGCTATACCGACTGCATAATACTCATTCATGGTTCAAAACCAGTTCAATCATTTTGGTTAGCGCTGTCAGTAAAGAGTCTGCAGTAACTAAGCAATCAAAATTTTGAGCTGTGGATCCGATAGTTTCAAAGATATGGGTTTTTCCGATCTGCCACGCCTTCAAGAAAAATAAATATAAGATAAAGTTTTCCCCAATTATCTGGATATATATAATGCCTCAACCCGTAAAAGGAGTCAAGAGTAAGTTAAGAAATAAGGTTCCAAAACTGGGTATTTTCGAAATGCAGAAATATTTTGGTACATTGATAGAGCCGTCAACCTGATTATCGAACTTTTATCTTTCTAACTTTGAAAGATATATTTTTATAGGGGGGTTTTGACCAAAAGTTTTATTTAATAACTTTTGTGTTACTAAGCGCACATATTTAATTGAATATTTTTCAGCAAGCTCTCACATATTGGTAATATGTGCAAATGTACTTCAATTTAATCAATTTTGTGAAATTCGGAGCTGGTATTGGTCATATTGTTAAAAAAATATATGCTTTAAATGGAGATTATAGCTTTAAAGATTAATATCAGAATAAATGAAAGTCTACAATGTTTTTAAGTGATAATATTAAATACGGAATACGTCTCGATTGTTCGAAATAATAAACCTACAGAAAAATATCAAGTTTCTAGCTGTAATGGATTCTAAGATCCATGCGCTAATACGTACAAACATACGGTCAGACGAACAGACAGCCGTTCGGGGCTGAATCGAACTTGATATTCAAAATATATATTTTAAGTTCTATTTTGTTCTGTTATCAACAAAAGCTCGAAGGGTCTGTGCTTTTGAAATAAGGTGTCTGTACAAAATGTATACCAAACAATACCAATTTTCGTTAGAAAAACTAAACTGTGGGCTGCTACGGGTTAATACACACAAGCTAACGTGCTACTGACCTTAGGGCATGTAGATTTCTTAATCGAAAACGAAGCTAAATTGTATACCTTGTCACACACACATAGACTCATCATACTGATAGCAGCTCAGCAGCTCATCAGTTTAGCAAATATTATACATGGTTCAGAATATTATTTGACATATTTTTACAATACTTTATTTATATACTCATAGCTGACTTAAAACGTTTTTAAATAAAAAAATTAATCACTTCAAATGTTAATAATAAAATAATATGTATATAAGTGTAAGTACCATCCGAAAATTTGTCAAATTAAATTACATATTAAAATACATTTAAACATATATACAAAATCATACAAAAATCGGTAATGTGCGTTAAAATTGTGTAATAAGTTATATTGGATCCTTTCAATTAAAATTTCGTTAAATTTAAAAATGCAATCTATTAATATATTTTAATTTTATATTTCAAAACAAGTAATTGCCTGTTATTTGAACATGTCATAATTATCAATATTTGACATGGGAACAAATCATTTATAGACAGGCAGATAGTCTGGCTGTTGAAGCGAGAGAACAACGTAACAACGGATTTTGATAATGTTCAAAAATATCCATATATAAAATTTAAAGTTAAAAGAATTTAAAAATATAATTTAAATTCTTTAAGGTCACCTATTAAATAATGCTATGATTGTAATTATTCTAATCAGGATATAATGGTTTTGTAAAAATGTATGTAACGGGCAGCAGGAGGCGTGGCAGAGCCCATAAAATATATATATTCTTGATCAGGACGATAAGTCGAGTCGATTGAGCCATATTCGACTTTCTATCCGGCTGTCCGTATGTGTGACGCGTCGATCTCAAAAAAATTTTTATTTAGTTGACTGTATATTTTTAATAGTTATTTAAATGTCCCCAAAGTCTTTAAGTTCAGTTGAAAATAGAGCCAATATGGGAAAGAGTTGGCATTTTTATTATGCTGATAATTACTTTAATCGAAAATGTAGATCATACTGAAACTTTAATTCAAATCACTAGATAAAAGAGTATATTAGTCCGTCTGTCTATATTATGGTAATTGAAGCTAGACACCTCAAGTTCTTGCATATACTTGTTATTACCATCGTCTAGTAAAGTGCTAAGATTTCCCCATAATAAAAAGAGATGAAACTGAACCGCAGAAGAAACAACATTATTAAAAAACATAAACATAGTCGTCCGTAATCGATCAAAATCGTTATCAAGCTTTAGAAATTATTTCTCGTATGTGTTTGGATAAGAGTTTGCATATTTGGCATTTAGTTTTGTTTTTTTTTTTAATTTTTGGATACCGGCTCTAAATTTCACATATTTTAAGTTTAGGCTTCTGTTTCATTTACCAAATTTCAATGAAATTATCAGTATATTATACATATTTTCTATTGAAGTACTTGTCAGCTTAGTAAAAATGCAAGCTGAACTTAAGCTTAAAGAACTCGGGGACATTCGAAAATCGACAATATATCCATGCCGCAATGTCGTCAGAAAGTCTACTAAAAAGGTGCTTAGCCTACAATGACGCATTTCCTAAGACTGTCTTCCTTTAATAAGAATTGTCGACCCACGATTCGACCCTCGATTCGCCTCGCAACTAGGCTGAGTTCTATTGATCTGAGCTCTATTGTGCTCAACCATCACTATTGTTCTCTGTCCAGTTTTATCTTTGATATCCCTATTTAGAATATCTTAATGTTTTTGTTTGAAACTGTACAACCAGGTCGTTTTGAATAAACGCTAGAGTTAGTAGCTCGCAATGAATTTTGTTTAGAGCTCCTAAATTCACTACGTCTTATTGCGTTTTTAATCGAGTGCTTCGATCAGAAACTCATAAGACATGTTTTGTTCTGAAATGGCAAATATATCCGTACAGAAGCGGAATCAGCTTCATTAATAATATTTTTTCATGAAAGCAATTAACTTTTCCCTTTTTACTATTATCGATTAAAACCATAATCGAAATTCAGTTATTAAAATTTATTTCGTACGGCTTAAGAGCTATATTTTGTACAATTTTGATTGTTGTTACTTTTTGGATACCGACTCCAAATTTCCCCAAAATTTTAGAATTCAAGTTCAGTTGGAAACAGGACCAATAAGTGAAGGAGTTTGCATTTCTACTAATCCAACAGAATATGTAGATAATATGCTGAAAATTTCATTAAAAACAAAACGTTTGGTCAATTTGCATTTTTCCTATACATGTGCACACATAAATTCAAGTGCGTGTATTGCTACTTAAGTTCAAATTTGCAGTTAATTACACAAGCAGTGCGGTGGCGGTGTTGGTAAAGACGGTGGTCAATACCGACAAGTTTTAAGTTCGAGACCAAGCGGCGAAAGGATACTGTGTTGCCTATTTAATATTTTAATTATGCAGTGGCCGTGTTGGTAGAGTTGATGCACGTTGCGTAGGCAACGTTGGTTCGAATCTCGATGTCGTAATATAGGTTTTTGTGTTTTTTTTAATACTCGATACAAACTAAGGAAAATATTAAAAAACACTGATAGGACTGGAATCGGGGTAACTCTTAGTCGGGCAGCGCGACTATAGCTTTCTTACAGTATTTAATATGTAAATAAGAAGCGATTAAAGTATTTCACTTACAAGAAATTCAATTTTTTTTTTTAACCTGTTTTATTTTCGGTTATGCGGGTGCGACGAAGGCGTTGTGAGCACGGTGCAAGAGCAGCTTGAGCCAAGTTGTTGTTGATTGAGTCATTTTGTAATTTGTACCGTTGGATATTAATTAACTCACGTTAGCTTTACGTGATGTAATTTTGTATATCTTGAATACCGGTCTTTCAAAGGATTCCAAAATGCCGCGGTGCAGCGGGCGTTTTTTGGCCATCTATATAGAATATTTATAATGAACCCCTAATAAAGGCCTTAGCACCAAATTTTAATGTTCTAGTTTTCCACACTTGAAAAGTCAATCTACAACGGAAATATTATCGTAAATTGAAACATTATATCTTGGCAATATACCATTTTGACTTTTATAGATTTAATCCTGACTACTCTTACTTTTTCCTGATTTTTATACCCGCTCTACTTTTGTTGATTATGTTCATACAGGTGACAAATACGAATACTTCTTTTAACAAATAAAACATTATTTAAAATAAATAAAGATCAATCTAGTCGATACGGCTCGACAAGGAACCCTGCGAAGAGCTATTACTAAAATGATTCTACGCTTCTTCTATGTAATTATGAACAGCACTTTCACACGCAACCGGGACTATAATTAGGCTGCAGATAGATTTGATTGTTGAGTAATAATAGACTTTGTTCATTATCAGAGCACGATAATGACATTTAATAGTATTTTAAAATTTTTTTAACAAATTTGGTGGGATTATGTCCAAAATAGACATAATCTTTGTATTCATCACTGGCACATACCCTTAGACTTTCTTCATCATCAGAGCATGATAATGACATTTAATATGTAAGATAACTCTCTAGTATTTTAAATTAATTTTTTGCAAATTTGGACATAGTCCCAGTCCAAAATTGATATAATTTTTGTATTCATCACATTATTCAAATAACACTTAAAAAAGAGGGCAGAAAATATCAGCTTTTATCGAAAACAAGGAAACAGGATGAGTTCTTGGAAAAAGATGGTAAGCTCGTACAGCGTATAGTATAAGCGAATGTATATTCGAGTGTTAATGTCTCTAGCTTTTATTATTTACGAGATCACTGCGCTGATACAGAAAGGGAGGCACTAAGGGGAACAGACGGATATGGCTAGATCGACTCTACACGTCATCCTGATCAAGAATACATATACTGCCACGACTTCTCCTCCCGTTACATATATTTTCACAAAAACAACCCATTTTCAATATAAAAATTTTGGGTGTAAAAAGTAAGCCAGTTATACAATGTTATCTGTCTTTAAATATTTATATAGAAAATCAAAAAAGTTAACGAACATTGAGCGGCTCATGTGTGAGTTCGTGTGTACTGCAATTTTAAAAGAGCACAGAGTGACTGACTGACTGTTTACTGAAATAAACAGGTATGCTGCAATTTTTATTAAATTATTATTTAAAGGTTATTTACAAACAAGTTTATAAACTCTGTTATACCATTGATAACTAAATTCATTTCATTTAAACAATATGTATTGAAACGTATTTCGAAATATCTTCAAATGTCAGTCATGCAATGATTTTGGTGGTATTGAACAGGATATTTCTTAGATTATATGATACATATGTCTGCATCAATAATAACTGAATAACAACTTTGAGTGGTATACACAGGCTACTAATAAGCAACTCATAAAGCTCTAGTCGAAGTACCCGACTTGAAGATATCCAAAGCCCAAGCACAATCACCCCGTCAGGCATCGAACCTTTTCGACCACTCGAAATTACCAAACGCAAAGAGTATATCTAAACCAAAGTAGATACAGACATTTAATAAGATTCTATGGCAGTTGCGAATATATTAATAGAATTCGATCTACAATACACGTATTTCAATGTATGCTTGCACATGGTGCTGCTTGCTAAGTGGGATTGGCAATATACCAAACGTTTTGTTTAATAGCTTTTGTGTTACTTAACAGGTTTCAATGACATAAAATCAACATATTCTTTTGAATACTTTTCTGTCTAGTAAAAATTTAAACTCACAATGGATATATTATATATAGAATTTTGCGAAATTTGTATCTAGTATCCAAAATACAACAAAAACCAATATTATACGAAATATTTATAAAATGCAAATCTGGAAATTACGTACGAAGACTTGCGAGATATAATTTAATAACTGACGAATATCTGTTCTGTTTATGATAATACCAGTAATGATTACCTGTTGGTTGGTTAGTATGGCATTGTGTCACTTCCGTACTTTATCAAAGGATGTGAACTTTAATTCAAGCATTATGCAGTTGGTTGCGTTCGACTACCACATATTTTCTTGTCTTATTACATTTTTCCTATCCTTATGTTCCTATCAATGGAAATATGATGATAAATAATTAAAAATACAATAACGATTAGACTATGCATCTGATAGCGGCTTAGCTACGTTTAACCGAGCACGGAGTTGATTTTTATACCCTGATCCCATTGAAAATGGGAAATCAGGGTATAATGGTTTTGTGCAAATGTATGTAACAGGCAGAAGGAGGCGTGACAGACCCCATAAAGTATATATATTCTTGATCAGGACGACAAGCCGAGTCGATTGAGCCGTCCGTCCGTCTGTCTGTCTGTCCGTCTGTCCGTCCGTATGTGTGAACGCGTGGATCTCAGCATCTACAAGAGCTAGAGACTTGAAATTTCTTTTGTAGGTCCGTGTATAGCACGCGCATATCGAGTTTGTTTCAAATATTCGATAGCTATTCGCATTTAGTTGTTATTGTATACAAACATGATTGAAATGCACTTAATAAATTATATCTCGGACGTCTTAAAGCTAGAGCCTCAAAATTTTGTATTTAGTTTTATGTATATTTTATGCAATTTTGATTTTTGTTGGATTTTGGATACTGGCTCCAAATATCCCCAAATTCTTAAAATTTAAGTTTAGTTGGAACTAGGGCCATTATCTGAAGGCGTTTGCATCTCAACTAAGCCAATAGGATATGTAGATCATATGCTGAAAATTTCATTAAAATCCATTTAGTAAAACAGAAGTTATTAAACAAAACGTTTGGCCAATTTGCAAAAGCACATGTCAGCAGCGCCACGCGCACTCATTTTTCCTATGCGTGTGCACACATACATTCAAATGGGTGTATTCTTTTCTATTCCAAGAATTGAAATTGCGATTGAATTGTGCTGAATTATTAGCTTCTACTTAACAACAGTGCGGTGGCTGCGTTGGTAGAGGCGGCGCTCGTTTGCAGCTAGGTCCGAGGTTCGAAACCGGTGGGGATGAAAAATTTTTTATTGTTTTATTTTTTTTAATTATGAAGTGGCGGTGTTGGTAGAGTTGGTGCACGTTGCGCAAATAATCCGGGTTCGAAACCTGGTCTCGCAATGTCGTTTTTTATTTGTTTCCTTTATTTTTTTTTGAATACTCGATACAAACTACGGAAAATATTAAAAAACTCAGAGGACTGGGATCAGGGTATCTCCTAGTCGGGCACCCCGACTAGAGCTTTCTTACTTGTTCAATCTTAATATTATCTAATTTCGAAAATTAACAATTGTATTCTATTAATTTCTAACACTTAAACAGATAATTAAATATTTAATACACATTAATAACAGTATATTATCTTACCTCTTTTAAAAGGACAACATTGTAAAAACGATTATAACTGTTGACAGACAAAAATGATTGTGGATTTTATTGCTGGCCTACTTGGAGGTAAAATTTATTTTCCTAACTAAAATTTACCTACAATTTTTTTCCAGTTTATATATTAATGCCGTGTTTATACCTTGAACCCATTTAGAATGGGAATTCTTGGTATTTGTAACAGTCAGAAGGAGGCTTGGCAAACCAAATAAAGCATATATATTATTGATCAGTATGGCGAGGTGAGTCGATCTACCCAAGTCCGTCTGTCTATCTGATCATGTGAACGCTGCGATCTCGTAAACCACAAAAGCTGTAGACTTCGAATTTGAGATTCATACTCGTGTATACCATACGCAGTTCGAGTGTTTAATTTTTCCAATAAGTCATCTCATTTAATCTCCGATACAAATCAATAATTTAGCTTCGCTTTTTAGGCGTAGTTTGAATAGCATAAACGCTGGATAATTCAGATGTATCGTGCAGCTTTCTGTTATGAGTAGAAAGATTTCCAGTATTTTACATTTTCGGTACCTGTAGCACTTCCCCACAAATTTCCAAAAATTGTGTTTGGCATAAATAATCATCTGGATGCCAAATTTTTAGCTATAAAGAGAGTCCATTCCGAAGAAAAGGTATTCAACAATTTTCATAGTAAAACCCATACCCAGTTGCTACTTAAGCTGCGTATTATTAATGTTTGTGTATGTTCTTAGGTTCAGGTTATATCGTAGTCAAGCCGTCTCGACTAGAGCACTCTTGTTATGCATAAGGCATAGTATAAATATAATTAATTGACTCATCGAATCTGGTGCAGTGTTCGGACTCAGCTTCTTCGAACATTATTTTTTCAGAGTATCTCCTCAATGTCAGAATTTGTTTTGTGATTTCGTTATAAATACTTCTGATTTTTAAATAATTTATTGACCCGAAATATTAAAAAAGTTCAAAAAGGCAAGCGACTATTGCGATTAATCACTATTCATTCATTACTGACAGCACGTCTGGGATCTAAATTATTCAACAGCAAATTTTCTAAAATGTAGACCAAGAGCAGTGTTGCAGTAAGCTGCGTAATTATGCGTACATATTTGTGGTTCATATGTTTTTGCATTTACAATGGATTGAATGTTTTTCACTCCAGACACTCCCTTGTTTTTAGATTTTTTACTTTAGTTTACCAAAGCATTATAGTTCTCATTGAATTAAGTAACAAAATATTTTTCTTAGGTGCCGCGGGGGTACTTGTTGGACATCCATTCGATACAGTAAAAGTTCACTTGCAAACTGATGATCCAAAGAATCCAAAATATAAAGGAACACTTCATTGTATGAAAACAATTTTACTGGTAGATAATGTTCGTGGCTTATACCGTGGAATTTCCAGTCCAATGATGGGTATCGGTCTTGTTAACGCGATAGTATTTGGAGTGTATGGCAATGTACAAAAGTTGTCTGAAAACCCAAATTCCTTGATGACCCACTTCAACGCTGGAGTAATAGCTGGTATAGCGCAGAGTTTTATATGTGCTCCAATGGAGTTGGCGAAAACCCGACTTCAGCTGTCTAATCATATTGATGGCCAGCACAAATTTAAGGGACCTATTGACTGCCTGTTATATATACAAAGAACTGAAGGTATCCGGGGAACATTTAAAGGACTTTTGGCGACTGTACTAAGAGATATTCCAGGTAAAATATGAAAATGGTTTATAATTAAAAGGTTAACATCAGCGATATTTTTGTAGGCTTTTCCAGTTACTTTGTTTCATATGAATTTTTAATGCAATTACAAGAGAAGCCGAGTGTGCCGTATGTGCTAATGGCAGGAGGCTGTGCAGGAATGTCATCCTGGTTAGCCTGTTATCCTATTGATGTTGTCAAAACACATATGCAATCAGATGCCCTTGGAAATCAAGCTAAATATAATGGGTTCATGGACTGTGCAATAAAAAATTATAAAAAAGAGGGAATCCCGTTTTTTTACCGCGGGCTAAATTCAACACTAATACGAGCGTTTCCCATGAACGCTGCATGCTTTTTTGTAGTTGCATGGGTATTAGAATTCTGTAAAAAAAATGGAATCGATATGATCGAAAGCCCGAACCAAAATCTTAATGTTGTTAACTTAGACAACTGGAGTCATGCTTACATTCAAAACGATTTTGGCAAAGATGACGAACTCGTGCGAAAAATAATTTCTGAGAGTGAATTAGAGCCCCGCGAATCATCACATGAGTCGTTAAATGGCAGTTTTTTAGATAACTACCATATTGATAAAATGTATGATAGTAAAATACAAAACTCGCAATTGAATATGAATAATACTTCAAATCAATCATAGTTAGAATTATATGCAATTTTATGAATAAATCGAATCAATTAAAAATCATTTTCATCGTCATTTAACAACCTCAATAATTACATTCCAAATGTGCAAATGTGCAGTCATACGCCAAGTACTAAATATATTTAAATAATTTTAAGATGTATAAGTCAGCTGAATGTGTTAAATCTAACCCGGCTGATAGATGTTTTTATTCAAGAAATTAAAAAAAAAAGTATGTAAATGACAACTAATATTAATTATATAAATAATATAATAAATATATAAATTTAAATATATATGAATGCTAAATATAATAAATGCATTTATGAAATACAAATTGGAATAGTCTTATTATTATACCCTAAACCCATTGAAAAACGAAACGAAAATGTATGTAAAAAGCCGAAGGAAGCGTGACAGAATCCAGTGAGTGTATAAATTCATCAGGTCGACGAGTTGAGTATCGGTGTTAATGTCCACCTGTCCGTGTGAACGCAGCGATCTCATAAACGATAGCTACAGACCTCGTAAGCACGTATGCATCACCGCATCGCAGAATTCAAGTAATCTAATACTCAAGCCGTGTTGACAAGAGCATGTGAGAGCCTCGGCTAGAACACACTAGGCGAAATATAGAATACTGAGTTTTACAATTGTCACATTTGTGTTAAAAGAGATAGCGGTCAGTCGTTTGGTTTTTATATCCTGATCCCATTGAAAATGGAAAATCAAGGTTTTTTTAAAATGTATGTAACAGGTAGAAGGAGACGTCGCAGACCCCATAAAGTATATACATTCTTAATCAGGACGACAAACCAAGTCGATTGAGCCCTGTCTGCTTGACCGTCTGTCCATCTATGTGAACGCATCGAAACTTTGACTGGAAATTTTTTAGTAAATCCGTGTATATCACGCGCATATCCAGTTTGTTTCAAATAGTTGATAAAACATGATCGAAATGCAGTTATTAAATTATACCTCGCACCGTTTAAGAGCTAGAGCCTCCAGAATTTGTATTAAGTTGTATGTATATCTTATCAAATTTTATTTTTTGTTACATTTTGGATATTGGCTCCAAATTACCCTAAATTCTTTTAATTTTAATTCAGTTGGAAATAAGTCCAACATGTGAAGGAGTCTGCCTTTTTACTAATCTAACATTTACTTTTGTAGAATATGTAGATCATATGCTAAGAATTTCATTAAAATGCAATAAGTAAAACAAAAGTTATTAAACAAACCCTTTGGAACTCTTTTCACAAGCAGTTCAGTTGCGGCGTTGCTAGTGACGGCGCTCGTTGCTTTTTGTGTAATTATGAAATGCGATGTTGGAATTTTTATTTATTTTTGTTTATTTTAAATACTCGGTAAGAACTACGGTATATGGTATACTTCTTTCAGTCTCACAATACATCGGCGTGATCACATTAGGACGGCTCTTATAATTAATGCATATAGAAACTAATTATCGCTTTTCGCTCTAAGAATTGTTTTAGTTGTCAGCGTACAGTGATTAGTACAAATTACTATCCATACACCACATTGTTAGAACATCTAGTATAAGCTCTTTCAACGTATTAGATTTGGTCACTGACTCTCATATATTTTTAAAAGTCAGTGAGTTGGAAAAAGTGCTGTCATGGCATGAATACCATTTTAAAGAAACCAAGTCCTATTGTTGGTATAACTGCAAAAGATGTTTAAAGGTAAATATATCGTCTCATAATAATTCAAGTTGTCTATTCCATATATATTATATATTTCCAACTATGATAATTAAATTCTATTAATACAAATGCGAATATACACACGCACATAAATTCCATAATTATCTACATTTTCGAAAGTAATGTATTTAAATAGTTAGTAAAACCAAACACTGTAATATAACCACTTAAAAATGTTCATTATGACACTCATTTTTTATATACTGTTTCTTTTCAGTAATTCAACATATTCGATATCTTGATTTTTTTCCATAATAATTTTTTTTCTCACATGTGTCAAAACTAGGTTATCGAATACTTTTCCATGTTAGAGACATATTATTATTAATTAATTTATACTTTAATAAAATAAAATTAAAATGTTAAATGAAGCAGACAACTTGGCGGACATCTTTCGTGGTGGACTGCCTTATTTTCTTATCATAACGTTACCTATATTAATAATTTGCTCGCCATGTCTTGCTAGTGAATTTGAAGTTATGGCAATGACAAAATATGATGTCAACGGCGAAAATTTTGGTATATTAAAAATTAAAAAAAATTGTACATATGTATAATTAATAAGTCTATTTCACGTTTCATAGGTTCACGGTCGTCTGTAATATCATTAGAAGCGAAATCTTTATATACTTGGAATACAGGCCGGCATTGTGTTCTAGCAAGGTAAGCACTAAAGGTAAAGTCCAATTTGGTGCTTATACCTAAACAAAAAACTAAATCGAAGCCAACTTCAAATCCGAAGAGTAATGTCAGACTTATAATAGAATTAAAAAGTTAGAAATAAGTAGTGCACTTGTGTTTAGAAGAGTTGGAATTAAAAATTTCAACACATTAGTAATCATCTTTATTTAGCGTCATTGTTATTTAGCGTTTAATTTAAGTATATTTCTGACGTGGCTGATTGGTTTGCAACTTGATACAGTTTATTGCATTTCAAAATACAATAAATGATAGAAGACAACAAACAAATGATAGAGACTTAATAATGTACTTATATCTCTTATCTTATTTATTCGATAACTTGTTCCAATTCCTGTAATGCATACATATATTTTTTATAATTCGGATTGTAATGGATTGTGTTTTATTCTAGTTAGGTATAATGTATGATATAAATATATATATATATATATTTTTAATTAAAACAAAAAATAAACAAAAACTCTAAGTGAATAAGCATTTTGATTATCTTGACGCCAGAGGGCAGCACTTCTGTTCATAGAACCTTCAATTGCAAGCAAATCCCCTACAGCTTTATATGATATAGATCCCCAGAACAAAACGGCTTACTTTCTGGCATGTGTTTCTTTACGATCATCTTTGTATAATCCTACGAAAACTTTTTTGAGATGAGTGGTACTCAAAACTACTAGTATCGGTCTATAGGATGTTGTACCAAACTGGAACAGGCTAGATAATATAGAATTTCGCTAAGGTCAAAAACTTAAGTTTATTTGGTTTGCAGCATCATTTGTATTTTAATTTCTATCTTTTCAGCGTACGTTGGTGATTTGATTTAACTTTTTATATTTTTTAATTTGATAAATGGTTTGACGTGATATGGTTTGAATTATAATCCCTAGCTACATTTATTACCGAAATATCTAATATTTTTTGCACAATTTCTGTTCTTATTAATGTTCTAATTTTTTAACATTAAAGTATATCAAGTGTACAAGTTTATATGAGTATAAGAGGCATGGAATGTTAGGAATAACAACACTACATGGTTTACTCGTCTTTTTAGCTTGTATACCTGAACCTAGTCTAATCCAAAATTGAGGTCTTTATTTATAAAAAAAAAACCATGTCATTCAGCAGTTAAAGGTTATTTATTAAAGTATCATAAAATAATTGAATACATCAAATATATAAGTACAATTCATATATTCTAGGTTACTGGACATTTCTCTAAATGATTTTAATAGAATCCGTCAAAAAGCTGGTGGCCTTATCATTATGTTGCCAGATGATGTTCAGACTTTAAGCAACGAAGTTAAGGATCAGATTTTAATGCTGGAACAGCAAATGCTTACTCAATCCATACCCATTCCTGTTTATTTTGCTTCCTTTACTAAAACCTTGGAACATATTATAAATGATATCACATCAACAACTATCGATAACAATACCCAAGACAAAACTGCACTTGGCCAACTTTTATTATCAGTGAACGCTAATGGTTACCACATCACTGTAGATGGTCAAAATAGTGCGGCAAATAAAAACAGTAAACTAGCATCTATTCAAGGAGAATTTGTGCCAAATCAATATGCTATGCAAAAGGAAAACACCGGTGATGGCAATAACTTACCTCTTATTCTGATCACAGCGAATTTGAAGACATTTGGCATAATTAATGTAAGTAAAATTTTTTTAAAGTAGGTTTTATTTATCTTATTCAGATTTAACAAATTCAAATTAATTTTGTTTTTATTTTATATTTATATCGGCTATATTGATAATCAACAACTAAGATGTCTATTACATTTTTCAGAAATATCCATTAAATGCTGATTCAGCGGTGTTAATGGCACTTATAGAAATATTTAGTAAATTGCATACCACACTTAGCACAACGCCTAAATATCGTTTGGGATTCTTCCTATCTGACTCCGGATTGTTACTAAACTTCCAAGGATCTAAAAAATGGCTTGAAATAGATGATAATTTAGCAATACAGGTAATCAAATTTGAATCAATCGCGTGAATGATAATAAAGTTTTGGTCGCAAACATAAAAATTATCTCCGAAATTGACAAAAAGAATCTTATAGAAAGTTCATATAAATCATATAAATCCAAGTTAAATTTTAAAGTTACACAAATTAAATTCAATAGAAATAATAGTAAGCTATTGCTAAATAGCTAATATTATTGAACGTATGAAAAGGTAGACTTATTTTAAACAAATTAAAAACAAAGATGCTTTGTACTACAATTTTTTGGGCTTAAAATGTTTTGTTAGATTTAGTCAATTATAATTTTTTTGAGCTACCGTATATGGAAAAAATGGATATAATATCCTTTGCGTGGAAAAAAAAAACAAATTAACAACGTGACCCAAATGTATGAAAATTTTTCTAATTAATTATTTTAAATACACTGCAACTTTTACGAATTATTGAGATTTACAACCTGCCTTGGACAAATTATCGCAGCTCGACTGTATTGTTATACTCTGCTCACAACAGGTAGAAGGAGGCATAGCAGACCCCATAAAGTATATATTTTCTTGATCAGGACGACAAGCCAAGACGATTGAGCCCCGTACGTCCATCCTTATGTATGAACGTGGGTCCCATACGGCTTAAGAGCTAAAGATTTTGTATTCAGTTTTATGTATAGTTTCTACAATTTTGTGTTTTGTTATTTTCCAATTTTCCTCTAATTCATTATTTGCAAAAGCACGTGTCCGGCAGCGCCATACTTCCAAATGCGTGCACTATTTTCTATTCGAAGAATCGATATTGTGCTTGAATTGTCAGATGCTACTTAATTTGAGATTTGCAACGTCTTTCACAAGAAGTGCAGTTGCGGTGTTGGTAGCCGAAAAGCTCTGGGTTTATTGCTAGGCGAAAGGGCACGTTGCGTAAGCAATATTGGTTCGTATCTTGGTACCTTAATGTCGGTTTTCATTTTTTTTTTTTTTTTAAATACTGGATACAAATTGAACACATTAAAAAACGCGGATAGAATTCAGGGAATCTAACTTATTTATTTTTATCTACAATGTGTATTTTTTTACTTGATAATATTATAAACATGTGTACATTCTATACACTCAAATTGTTTAGTTTAAAGAACAGAAAACAAAAATTGTGGAAGAAAAGGCTACTTAGGTTCTTAAACATATTGGCTTAAACGTTGTGGGCAGACCTATTAGTAGGGTCATATATTGTAAATTTTGATCCATTTAACACTTTAAATAATGCATATAATTTTTTCTTTGTGTATTTTCAGAATGTTGAGTTTGTATTATGTCTCGACACGATAACTCAAAGCTTAACTTCCAATCAACCAAATGTATTATACATGCATGTATCAAAGCCACCAAAAGAAAAAACTTCAATAAGTAATTACTTTAAGCTTCTTAAATCAATCGCTGGGCGTAACTCAGCAAATCTAACAGTGGAGGGTGTTCATAAAAAAATCAATCTAGCCGATTCTAAATTGTCATGGGAGCACGAGCGATTCTCCATGAAACGATTCCCTGCGTTTACATTATCTTCGGCAAGAAACCCTACAAGTCCACTGCGAACTACAATGTTTAAGGACAAAGAATCCCATATAGTAGAGCAACTAGTTACTTCTGTGAAGAACATTGCAGAATCTCTAGCTTGTTATATGTATAAAATAGATCCGTTGTCTGACATTTTTAAGGGCCATGCTGTAAGTTTACTAGATTATACCTTTATATTTATATATTTGAATTATGTTACTCTCTTAATTACAGGCAATAACTGAAGACAATATTCTTCCATATCTTGGAATAAAAGCAATTTTGCAAAATAACGACATTAAAGACGGTTTTGAGAAGTATCTGAAAAATGTCAAAGTATTTTATGACAAACCCGATGAACGCGAACCTGATTTTATGTTTTATAATGGTATCAATCCAAAGCTCAATATCTATCGAGTGAAACCCGCTATATTTGATCTATTTCTCACTTTTGCCATATCCCTTTATCTGGTTGGTATTTATTTTGCAATTCAGTTTTTCCCAAAACTTTATGGATTAATATCGACAAGTACAAATATTTCTATTCGCTGCTTCATAAAGCCATCGCCGAACGTCTTAAAACGTAAATAATTTACAAACCACTAATGAAGAAGACGATAAGATACGTTGCAGATATTTTTCCGTTTATCAGCCATTGAAGTCATATACTATTTTAAATTAAAAATTTTACTTTAAAAACATTTATGTATATACTTATTTAAAAAGTGGGTAGCATAATAATACATGATTTATCTGGATCTGAAATAAATCTAAGTATGACTGATAGTACGATGTTTTTAATTTTACTACTAAAATTATTTTGAGCATTATGCTACCGAGATTATGTATGTGTGCACTTTAGTTTCCTTATTTACTTTACAAAGTTTATATTGTGACAAGGAACAAGGTAACCTCCTAGCAGTCGATTTTCCTTTGGCTGTCCATTTCTGTTAAAATTTAGAAAATTAAAACTATCGGACAAACATGGCTTTAAGAACAGAACAACAGACATCTTATAAAAATTACAACAAATCAACCCCGCCACGTCGTAACGGGAAAGCTTTTAATAGCCCTGGTTCTACCCAAAATAAGAGCTCCCGTAGAAGCGTCAGACCACAAAGCCGAATTCAATCACCAAACGAACATTCCGACAACAATTTTTATAACGTGATTGTCCAGAATTCTGGGTTCTAGCATAAAAAAAAAATAAGAAAACTGACACCAGGATACGACTTCATGTTTGTAAAAAATAATTTTAAAAAAAAAAGCCGAAAATCGACGGGTTGATCACAGAACACAGTAGTTACTAAGGAGTAGCTTCAATTCAGTCTCATTCACGCATTTCAGGAATGCATGTGTGCATTATACGAAAAATGTGTATGAATGGCGCTTCTTGCCAACCTTTTTGCTTAATAATTTCTGCGTTATTTTGCGGATTTCAATATTCATATTCTAATTCATAAGACGAAATCTAAAAAATTTAATTGTCAAGACAGACAGACACATAGGTCTGAAAGTTCTTGGCTGTTGCTCGGCATCATGATATACACACATACATGCACGCCACGTTTTTTCTGGCTTATACATAGAATTTTCAATGCTTCTTCGCGTAAGTAGTATCAATAAAAAATGTTATTTGGAAAGCAATCTAGGCTTTGCCTGGATTTGGACTCCGAAATCTTCGACCACACGCGTTACTTCTACCAATGCTAACATGCAGAATAGTAAATCCAAAACATATTTACCAGCAGATAATTTAAATGCAAATGCGAATTTTTTAACAGACAAAAAATCACTCATTTTAATGTATGTTTACAATTATATAGGAATAAAATATAAAATTTAGAGACTCTAGCTCATTTTATAATTTAAATACTGCATTTCGATCATCTTTTTGATCGATATCAACACAACGGAACTGTTATCGATCATTTAAAACAAACCTAATATGCGCCTAATATATACCCGTTCATACATAGGGATAGACGGGCAGGGCTCAATCGACTCGGTTTGTCGTGCTAATTTACGTATTTTGTGCTATCTGTGCTTTAACAAATATACTCATTTCAATATTATTATTATTAATAAAGTTAATCTATAACAAAAGTTATTCAACAAAAAAATTACTGTAGTTCCTACTTAACTAGTGTCGACTAGAACACTCTTACCTTAAAAGCCTCCACATGTCACAGAAGACAAAATTTTGAGCGAAAAACTGAAAAAACAATATTAGATATCTGATCAAACCAAAAATAAGTTTATATCCAACCCTTTTTTGACAAGAGGAAACTAAATAACACGGCTAATCCAAAAAAATAATAAAATAAATAATAAATAAAAAAATAATAAAATAAATAATGAAATTTAAATTGTACTGACATCAATAGACAAATTCGCAAAATTGGCGAAATAAAGGACTCTTCAGTAGAAACATTAACACTTACCCAGTAAATTAAAAAAGGCTCCGAAAGACAACACTGACAAACTAAAATGAGAACAGGCGACAGACACATGAAACTATAAGCCACAAGCAACACAATTGAAGTCGGGAGCTACCGCTTATATAATAACCAAACTCTGTTCACCCTAAAATGTATACTTTTTCCGATTTGATATGCTCTCAGTGGGCCTCGCCCCATATAGGCATAGGCATATGCACGTCACTGGAGTGCTGTCCGCTACTATAAATGTATGTATTGTCAATTTATATCATGTTCAGAGCTGTCGACAAACTAATTACTAAAAGCTCGAACTACAAACGCCGACCTAGCATAATCAAGCCGATGCGCCGGGATTACGGATGCGCATGTAAAGGATATAAAGAAAACGGAACGTAAGACCGTAATCTCTTTACAAATATAAATCAAGCTGGCGAACTCTAGCTCTTAAATTACAATTCTAAGCATAGCGTCAGTTGCTTGGCCCAACATCTTTCTCCTATTGAATAACTAGGTTTAATACCTCACACAACTCACCTTACAGCTCACACGCTGCCAGGCACTTCGAAATGAAGACGAAAGGTTGCGAATTAATAATAGCAGCGATGCTACAGACTAGTGTGCGAAGTTCATTAAGGGCAAGAACAGAAATATAACAGTTCAGTAAAAATCTTACCCTGCCGCCTTCACTGGAGCATCTCGCAAGCCACCAAAGTGCCTCCTCCAATTTTTTTTGCTTTTGATACCACATCAAACTTTTGTAAAAGCATCTCGGCCCTCATGGCACTGGCTATTCGCTCAGCGCGTCTTGTGACCAGGCTGCTGAGCCCACGCATATGGACATTAAAACTGTCTGAAAGCTCTTATATATCCATTCTCTATCTTTCTTTTCAACAAGATCTCAACGATTATCGGCTATCATATTGTTGCTCCAATAGGTTTATGGCCTTTGAATAATTATTGTTATTAATTGTCAGCGAGCGAACTGTCCAACGCTGTTTCAGCTAGACAAAACCGTAAGTGTTAAAGCTTTTCCATGTTGCCTTCGGATCATTAATTAATGGTTGTTAAAAACATCTGAATTTTTTGCATGTCCACCGCTAAATGTAAGTAACATAAATGTAACTGATGTAAAAATAGATTGCACACAAGTGTATGTATATACGTATAATTCCCATCAGCTTCATCAACAAATTTTATGAAATATATATATTAACTTCCTTTTATTGTATTACGTTTGAAGAATTTGTTCTAAACGCGAGCACGGACTTTGGCGGACATGCTCACCGCTACTTATATGTGTGTATAGTCTACTTGCAGAGTTGTCGACGCACGAACATCTGTATCGACAATTTGTATCTTAATTATGCTCGGACGGACGGACGGACGAACATAATCTTTTACTCCGTGATAGAGTAATGTAAGAGTGCTCTAGTCGGGACTACTCGCCTAAGAGACACACAGAAGCCTGTGTATGGGTTCTATTCTAGTCATTATATACGTCTTTTATATATACATAACAAACAATATATGCACTAACGCCCTCTATTTATTGAGCAGTTTCAGCAAAGACTTCGCTTGGGCTGTAGATGGGCTTTACTATAGGAATAACTTTAAGCAACGAAGATAAGCGCTATGCGACTTCGCCAATGCAGACCACATCTAAGAAGTGGAAGAGACCTACGTAACGTGTATCAACTCTACCAACACCTCTACTTCATAATGGAAAAAAAGCAATAAAACTTCTCTGTTTGACAATGAACCTAGAACTTCTAAGTAACGATCGCCGCCTCTACCAACACCGCAATAGCGCTGCTTGTGCAAGAAGTTTCAAAGCTCTATTTAAGTTGCAGTTGACAATCCAAGCAGAATTCAATCGCAATTTCGATTCTTCGAATAAAAAATAGTGCACGCATTAGAATATATTGCGCTGCTTGCCACGTGATTTTGCAAATTGGCCAAACGTTTTTTTTAATTAACTTTTGTTTTACTCAATGGATTGTAATTAAGTTTCCAAAATATGATCCATATATATGTTAATGTAATTGTCAGTTTAGTCAAAATGCAAACTCCTTTACATTTCCAACTGAACTGAAATTTAAAGAAATTTAAACATAACAAAAATCAAAATGTACATATTCAGAGTATAATTACTCTTTTTTAAAGCTGTCAAGAAATTGTTTACACATTGCGTTTTGCAATTCTGTTTTAATCTTTTTCCTCTTTTTGCGTCTCTTAATAGATATTTATTTTTGCATTTCTTTTGCTTTTGTTGCTTACTAATCTAAATAAATAAATAAAATGATATGGTCTAATAGATTAAATATAATCACAACTTGAGCAAATCTATTCCATAATTAGCTGAATAGTTTTCTATATCAAGGAAAACAATTTACAATTTTATAAATCGCTCGGAAGATTGACCAATATCCGCAAATATCAGTACGAACACTTGCCAAGTGCCTTCAGGAAGAATAAGACTTAGATGTATCATATGAAACAGGACGCCATGCCATCCTACGGCATATGAACCCTGAACAGTTGCACGAAAGAAACCGCTTCTTTCATTGGTAAATGTAGAAAAGGGCTTTAATTTTGCTGTGAGCATGATTATTCAGCCGGCAGAAAATTGGGAAAATGTCATGTTTTGCAATGATACAAAAGTAATGCTGTACTGTATCAATGATCCATTCTGATAATGGCGGAAGGATTTAACTATCTTGGAAAACAGAATAATGATTTTGAATGTAAGATTTGAAATGCTTTCGGTATGATTTAGGGTTATGATTCAACACGTGTTAAACGCTACGTCATACTGAGGTCATACTGAATATTTAAATTAGCATAATTTATTTTATTTTAAGTTTAAAACGATCAAAGTATTTTGTGTAAACAGTTTTTGTTGCTTATTTGGTTGTATATTTTAGTTTTTTCTTATTTTTATAATTTAACTCAATAAACAGTTTAGCATTAACAAAATTACATTACTTTGAATTAAAGGCCATTAATTTTGCATCTGATGTAAAAAATTTTATTTTTCTCAGCGTTTAAGAGTTTTTTGACAAATTGTATATGTCTAATATTCCAACGATACTCTATCCAGTTTTTCAAATTTTGTACATAGCGCGATCAAGTAGCAATGGTTGTCGTGATGTCCGCTACTGTCCCAGCTGGCAAGGTTCAAATTGATATCATAATGTACAGCAATTCAATGATAATGATTTTTTCATTTTCAATGGGATTAGTGTATAAAAAAGATAAGCTTTATAAATTTTAGTGTAAGTCGTTGAAATAACTATTTTTATGTTGGTATTTTAGTTTTTAATTATAAAATGTTTCGATGACTACATTTTTTATGTCTTAACCACTTGCTGTGAATTGGCCCAAGCCTTAGACTCCATTTGAAACACGATTTTTGCCAATTTGGGGGAATAAGGATGCACAGTAAGCTGGAGTCTTCCAATTTTTATCCAATTATTGATTTTTATCAACAAAAAGGAAATGGTATAAATTATCAAAAAATATAAATTCGGTTTATATTTAGCATACCGTATTATATATTTAAAATTTCAAGTTTCTATCTTTTATGGTTTACAAAATCAATGCGTTCATACGAATAGACAGATATGCCTGTATATATTCTACTCAATTTTCTGAACAAGAATATATATACTTTATGGGTCTACCACGACTTCTTCTGTCAGTTTCAAACATTTCCACAAATTTTTATCTTGAATTTCCAATTTCAATGCAGAGTATAAAAAATTTGAAGTATATACATTTGCGCAATCGTGAGTGTAAGATCTCCGAATATTACAAAGATGAACTATTCAGATGGAAGCCGCGATTGCTGACACTTCATGTGAAATACTTTTTTACCATTTAGCCACAATTTAAGATTTATTTTGTCGTGAAAAATTTGAAGAATGAAACCAAATAAATCAAAGTTGCGAAGCAAACTTGATTGATTGCCTCCTTTTTCAGTTGCAAATCAGCCTTATTAAACGATTCGCGTAGAAAAAGATTTAACCGATATTTAATATTTAGAGTAGAAAACGCAAATGAACCAATTAATTTAAAAAATGTAGGTTAGGTTAATTAAAAATATATATACATTTACTCGGAATATCCCATGTAAAGAATATCAATATCGTAGGATATTAATTTACTACAAAATCAGAATAAAGGCAAAACACATGATACTAAAATTCAAGAAAGTTGATTATGATTTGACGTACAATGGGCTACATCTCAAACACACATTCACCCAAACCAAATTTTTATATATATTATTAACTGTTACTTTGCGCTGAAGATATTTTTATACTTATTCACGAAGTGAACAATATATGTCTTGTGCAATGTCTGTCTGTACATTACCCATTATTGCAGCTAAAGACTCGAAATATGAAACATATACATATATGTATATATATTATATATATATATATATGTATATATATATATTTTCGATTACGAAGTGAACGTGTATTATATATATATGTAGATATATATAGATGTACATTTATTTTAATGATAGCTTAGAACTATTCACTTCATATTTAAAGGATTATGTCTATTTTCGTTTAAATGTAGCACACTTAATATTATTCGCATGTGGGCCAATCAATTTTAAATCCATAAAAATACGGATGATCCAAAATGTCCTTCGCTGAAATCCGATGTACTGGATCATAAATCAACATTCTCTGAATAAGGTCTATACCGTTAGAGTCCAGATTTTTAAGCTGACTTGTCAATTGATTAGTTGACCAGCATGGAAATGTATTTTTGTAATCGGGAAGCGATGTTACACCTGGCCATATATCCTCCGTAGGTGTTTTGAGTATTCTGTAAATTATATGAAAATGTCTTATAATATTACTTGTATATCTAACAAAGAAATACATATATAAATATCAGAAATGTGTTTATACAGAAAAATTCTTTAAATTCTTGATTCCATTTAAGTTCTTAGAAAGCAAGAGGCTGGATGAAATTATATGATCGGTCGTAAATTAAATACTCGGCGTGTGAAACCAGAATTATAAATATTAAAAGATTTATAAGCTTTCTTTTAAAACGATTTAATATTTATGTAAGGTTCGTTAGGCAGAAAATTAAATATATATGTATCGCGATTAAAATTGTGATCAAAACTATTTTTGTAATATTAACACTTAATATATCATATCTTTACCTGAACATTCGGAATAGTTGATCAATCTCTGAATCTCCTTGAAATAGCGGTTTCCGAGTAGCCATTTCTGCAAAAATACATCCGATGGACCAAATGTCAACGGGGCATGAATATCTAGGAGAGCCCAATAATACTTCCGGAGCCCTATACCAGAGCGTAACAATTTCATGGGTATATATGCGTACAGGTATACCGAAAGATCTACCGAGTCCGAAGTCAGCTACTTTAATTATACCATTTTTGTGAATTAGGAGATTTTGTGGCTTTAAATCTCGATGAAGGACCCGGCGTCGATGACAAAACAATATTGCATCTGTTATTTGGTATAAATAGCTTTTAACCAGCTGGCTACCAAGGTGTTTCTCGGGAGAAAGGGAATCCATATATTTTTTTAGGTCCATTGATAAAAATTCAAATATCAGGTATATACGATTTTCTTCCATCAATACGTCTTCCAAGCATACAATATTCCGATGTTTTAGTTCTTTTAACAATGAAATTTCTCTATAACAAGTTAAACTTCTCAGCAAACATTTAAATAATAAATATTAATTTACAGACCTTATTGCCGTAGACGGGACTCCTTCATCATCAGACTCCAACCTAATTTTTTTCATGGCCACAATTTGACCAGTTAAACGGTTCCGGCCCTTATAAACAACACCATAGGTACCTTCACCTATTTTTTCAATTTTTTCAAAGTCTTCCATTTTTATCCCGGTCAGCTTTAGAAAAATGCCGCGAATCTTTTAAGCTAGCCACACGGTTGATAGCGTGATAGTTTTAAAACAGCAATAAGTAATGAAACTTATCGAAAACATCCTCATATTCATCCACATTGAAACATTGAAATAAGACATAATAAAAAAAACGAGAGGAATAGACTATGAAACGGAAGTTCACATTGGCTATATATTCAAGGAATATATAAAACTTTCATTAACGGCACATTAAATAAATTCTTAATAATATTATTTTCTTCTTTTTTAACAACATAGTCATATTATTACCGCATATAAAAATACAAATAGTTGAATGGTTCAACTATGCCTAAAATACATATAGAAGAGTAGTTATTCGTTGTACATTTATCAAAAAGTAAGCTATTAAAATCGTAGAAACTGAATATGCAACACATATATTGGATTCAATAAGAATTGTAATGAATCACTTACGACAGTAAATAATTGTGTTTTGGCAACGGTCCTGCTAATTGAAATCAATTCAGATATAAAATGTATTACAAATTTGCAAAAAATTAACAACAATGCAAAATAGTCCGATTTAATTGGCATTTTTCGTATTCATAATAAGTGAAAAAATCTTTTGCATTACGAACATATTTCTTAAAAGAGAAGAAACACATACTATATTCATATACTATATGAAAAAATTATCTTACGCTTTTCTTATTCCTTTTTATATCTAAGGTTGCATATATCCAAATATGATAAATTTTGATTTACAAAGCAGTAACGAACTACAATCTATATTATTATTATAATTCTGTATGCTTAGAATTATAATAATAATAATATAGATTGTAGGTTGTTACTTCTAATAATAAAAGCGTAAGATAATTTTTTCATATTGAAAGACGAATAATTGTATTTAGAAAATATTAGTTAAGCATATACATCACAAGAGTTCTTGTAATGCCGGTCTAAAAACCAACTCGATATCCAAATTAAACAAAGAGATTCAATATACTCAAACAAAAAAATAATAATAATCGAAATGTATTATCTATCGAAACTTACAAAACACAACACTGAGAATGACGCACGAAGAGAACAAAGATGGCGTTCCCGATGGTATCACGAACAAAGCAAGCAGAATACTAAATTTAGAAATGTTTTGAATTTTTGAAAAAACGTTGTTCAAACTGTAAAAATACTTTAAATGAGCTTTAAGAAATGTATTACCATGAGTTAATTAAAAAAGTATTACATTTACTAACCGTGGGGCTAATCTGTGAAAGTTTTGTGTAAATCATAACACATACATACATACATGCATATGAAGTTTGTGTGTTCGTGGTCAAAAGATATACAAATCCGATCCACGCCTTTTTATATTAATAAAGGTTCGGTAGTTGTGAAAAAGTGTACAAAAATAGTTGAGCGTCTAAAAACAAATTAAAAGGCTATTAAATCTATAAATTTGTTTAAGTGAGTATAGTTTTTTATCCAGACAAAAAATTTTTTGCAACATTCTTATCCATACATATGTAAATTCAGTAAGGCAAGAGTGGATAAATAAATGTGTATATAACAACACACATTTAATAAAAATATATTAAATAACATCAGAGTAATATTTCAAATAATATTTTAAATCTATGAATATTTTAAATCTATGGGATTGCTAAAATGTTTGGATACGAGCGTTCTCTGTATTGTTACTCTACAAACTTTAATGAGTTTTATAATTAAAATTTGTTGTGGCACAAGCGAAATTTGTTAACATTACGGTTTAATCAAATTCATAATCACATTTGCCACATGCAATAAATAATAAATCCATTAATACGTATCTGTTGACGTTCCTTTTGTTTTTTATTGTGCGCCTTGGTGTCGGACAAAGTGCTCAACCCAAGGGCAGCCGTTAAAAAGTTATACTGTGTTGGTACATACAATATGTAGCTCCAAAATTGCATAGCGTAACAACAAATACGCATTGTTTTTTGTTGTGATACCAGAATTCAAATAGCTAAATTTGCTCTAAAAGTTATATCGTGTTATATATGTAGTATATGTAGTATAAAGAATGTATGTGTTCGATTTATTTTTCGCTAAGCATGATGAATTTAATATTTATAGTAGTATCGTATGCAAAACATGATTAATCAGGGGTCAAAATTTTAAGGAAATAAAGAGGTAGTGTTCTCTAATTACATATTCTTCATAAAATATGGGAAAATATGTTTTATTCAGACGCCTGTTGCTTTTTTTTTACCTGTCTGTGAAATATTTTATTATTTAACGCATTTTACTTTTATTATTTTGGCATTATTTAGTTTATATATATGCCTGTGGACAAGTATGATATCGATGTTTCTGGTGTAACATTCTTAATAGTTAGTACGTCAGTGGTTGCGGTACAGTTGGCGGTAACTTTGACTAACTATTTTGACTGTCAGCTGTGCTCTGTTATTGTAAGTATATTAAGATGTTATTCTCATGAGCCTGTAATTTCAATCCGTGGTACCTATCATATATAGGAGGCAATAAGACTATAAGCATTGACAGCAATAATTGTAATTGACATAAATTTTATTCTTTACGGATTCCGTTTTCAGGGTAAATTATTAAGTTAAGGAAATCTGCATTAATAGATACCAGATTAGGAAAGACCATTAGGTTGTTTCTTATTAAATTAATGATTAGCTTATATTTTATCTTAAATTCGGCTGCTACTTAGAATGTTATTTCTTTCGATGAAAGACAAATGTCTGGTAACACTTATCTGTATCGCGCCGTACTTGTAGTTATCCGTAGAGATGGAGCCTGCAGTTTTTCGTGAAACTATTGAAATAAATTTCTAAGAAAATTCTTTTAACTTTTTTTTAGTCAAATTTGTTCCAAAATAGTAAAATTTGAAATCCTGGCATTGCATCGTTAAAACCGTTTAATAATTGGTATGATGTATTACAATTTACTGTGAGATTTAATATCACTCAACAAGTCAACGTATATATCATAAAGTTTAATATGAGACAATTTAAAATCAACCTTTTGTAAAAAAAAATTTGGAGCAAACGTAATAAATTTACCTTTTTACCCTATATTGTATACTTAGCTAATTTTGTAACTTACTTATATATACATGTATATATATATATATATATATATATATATATATATATATATATATATATATATATATATATATATATATATATATATATATATATATATATAGAACTAGATAAGTTAATAGATATTAAATCTAAAAACCTGACTGAATAAATTGCTTCTTTACAGGTTTTTGAATACAAATAGTTTTTCTGCTATCATCCATAAATCTGAGAAAGCATGGCGACCAGCGATGATGAGCCGATGCACTTGTATGAAGTGTTTCAAAACTGCTTCAACAAGATAGCTAATAAGCAACCCCCGGGAACAGGGGCAACTGAACGGGGAGGGGGCTATCATTCACCATATGGAGGCCTTGCTGTGGAAAACGGAATATACCCAAGTGATTTTAATTCTATTCATGATGCCAACGGAAGCAATAATAGGTTTCCCAACACAACGGCGGTTGATCAGTATTTTGATTCTGGAGCGACTAGCAGCGCAGGATGGTACCAATCGCAAATGCACAACAGCACGAATTATATGGGTCAAACGTCTTATCAAAACAACGCACCCATGTCGTCACATACAATGGACCATCAACAAGTTCATAATGCTGAAGGTTTAACAAGTAGTACGAATATTGGTATACAAATGGGTGGTGAAAGTGGCCAGATTGGTATGCACAGTCCGGCATCAACATCTCTTCCGCCAATGAGCTCATTTCGCGGTGGCTCTGGTAACTTACCAAATATTGGCCAACCGACGGTACTCTCGCCAGCAGTGTACAATTCGCCACAACACAATCAAACCGCAGTGCAAGCACAGCATAGTTCTCTTTCTTCTGCTGGGCAAATAGCACACCATTCCCTAAATCATACTCCGCTACCTCACGCACATTCCCATCATAATCAACAACTTAGTCCTGCGATTCAAAATTCTGATGCCTTTGGCGGGATAAGTGCGAAAGTATCTGGAGCTGGTAATTCTACGGCAGCGTCATTGCGTCAGCAGATCTACATGTCGGCTGCAGCAGCTGATCAGAGTATAAGCAGCTTCAGTTCGAACCCATCAACACCTGTTAATTCACCGCCACCTTTAACACAGTCCGGAGTTGGGGATGGGACAGTTTCTGGAAACGCCGGTTGGAATCATACAGGCTTAAACGGCAGTAACGCCTCAACTTATGCAAGTGATATGGTGCCCGTAACTAGCTTACATACCATGGCATCTGTTTTTCAAGGCGCTCGCATGGAAGAACGCTTAGATGATGCTCTCAATGTTCTACGAAACCACTGCGAACCAGAAATGTTAGCAAATGTTAATACATCTCTGAATTCAATAGACAATACAGAAACATTATCTTCCTTTGTGGCCAATTCACCTTCGTCCCATCTAGTTGGCGGCAGTAGCGCTGCCGGTAATGGCGCACTAGTACCTAATACGTCAAGTACCCTTACGCATGAAGTTCTTTCATTGAGTACGCCTGCTTCTAGTGCAAACGCAATTCAAGCAATTGGAGCTACTGGGTTGTCTAATATCAAAATGGAACGAAATACATCGACATCAATATCCGCATCTTCAAAACCTACTAAGAAACGAAAGGAGCAAATGGGAATCAGTAATGTCACACATGCCGGCGTGTCAACAACTTCTAGTATATCGAATCTGGAAATATCTGACACAAAGCCTACGAGTTCCATAGAACCTTCGAATGCTACACAGCTTCAACAGCTTTCTCAGGGTGCAAAAGGTTCAAAGAGACCTCGTAGATATTGTTCCTCAGCGGACGATGACGATGACGCAGAGCCTGCTGTCAAAGCTATCCGCGAAAAGGAACGGCGTCAAGCAAACAATGCTCGTGAGCGCATTCGTATACGTGATATTAATGAGGCTTTGAAAGAACTGGGACGCATGTGTATGACACACCTAAAATCTGATAAACCTCAAACTAAGTTGGGCATCCTTAATATGGCAGTAGAGGTAATTATGACTTTAGAACAACAAGTTCGAGAACGAAATTTGAATCCGAAAGCAGCTTGCCTAAAGCGTCGGGAGGAGGAAAAAGCGGAAGATGGTCCCAAATTGAATTTACAACATCACATGATACAACAGCCATCAGTTAGCGGGAATACCTATCATCATAACCAGACTTCACAACTTGTTGTTCCCCCCCCTACCCAGACCATAAGCAGCATGACCTTACCAGCTAATCAATCTAGTAATGTTTTACCACCACATTTACAACAGCAGCAACAAATTGTACAACATCCACAATAGCATGATGTCAGCAATGACGCGAAAGCATCACCATCTTCCATTACCACTCAATTGATCCCAGATACTTCAAAGTACTCATCAGCTTTTGAGCTAGACCAACATTTACTAAGCAATTTTTTGAGGCGCTATCATGCAACTCAAACCATTTCTGAGACAATGTCCACTTTGCCGCAGTTTTAGCTTATTTTGTCCTTGTCCTTATTACCTTGGGTTTTAGGCACAAGCAACTTTACAATTTTTTCATCTTTGTCAATTGTATATAGTTCTTTTTATCTTGATTGACGGGGTAAGATCATTTACAGTTGTTTAATTTGTGAAATCCAATTGAAAACAAATTGGATTTACTTATTTGAATTGTAAATCCAATTGATAGCACATTAGATTTACATAATTTTGCGATGTCAATGTAGCCATTTTTTAAACTTTCATTCATTCATAATTGTATGATTATGTCTAGTAGATTATTAAAAAAACAAAAAAAAAAATCAAATCAAATTTCATACATACGGACTTTTTCTTGTATTCCCCATACTTTTAGGACTATATATAAGTAAATGCACATTAATTTATCTTAATCGTGTTAAATGACCGCATGTAATTAAAACAAACATATATATATATATATATATATATAAATTATATGTTTTCCAGTCCTGTGGTGACTGAAAGTTAGGTTGAGAGGCGACTGTGCCTCTTATTGCTGGCCTCGGGCTCAGACAATGAAATAAGCCATTTAACGAGCAAATGACGGAGTGAATATTTATTTAAGCGGTTTACTGGAAGAACGCTTTTTAACCCTGCTTTTAATTGTTCTTTTTTGAATAATCGAAACAGTTAATTTTATTGGTTTTTCTTATTATATTCACTATTTTTAGTTTTACTTATATGACACCAATTTTTAGCATGTCCTATCAGTACGAGTTAAAACACGAGACTAATCTATATTTTTACAAATCATAGCCTCACCGGCGTAAGTAGAGTTGCTCTTGCCAGGGCTGTTCCTTAACTTGTCTAGCACCCGATAATAAGTGTTGAATAATACCTTATATTAAGTGTTATAAGCTAACTAAGTGTTATAAGTTAACTACCCCCCCCTCAAGTGTAAGGTCGTCCTCGACCGACCCAATTCCAGCGACGACTCCTCGCAAGTGCTTCGCGGACTTCTTTGCGTCGATGATCCACCAAAGAGTGAGGCCAATGCAGATTAAAGTACAGCATATGGCTCCTCTTTCGGAGTGCCGTACAACGACACATCATCAAAGTGCACCATTTCGGTTCCTTGGTCGCATATTAGCAGCGGTGACCAGCGAGTCGGTGCAGGTGTTCTCGAATGAAATCCGCAAGTCGTTCTCATTCACATTCAATACGGAGCAGTATGAGCAGCGTACTGATTCTTCGCTATCGCCGTTCAGCAGGCGCTTACTAAGCTTGCTCTTGCGCCTACGTATGTGGCGTCTGTTGAAGCTGTTGGTGCACAACGTGGACGTGGGCCTTGGCATCGGATGATGCACACCAAAGTTGTGCAGCTGCAGCGACTTGAGTGTGGCTGGCGCCGTCGATGACTGGCCGTGCACGTGCCCGTGATGGCCGTGATGACTGTGTCCCACCACTCCAGCGATGCTATGAGCCGTTACTGGACGAGTGATGTGTGTAGTCTGTCGGCGCGCTCAGCTGGCGATTGAATTCGGCCTTGCGGCGCGTCAAGTCCGTCAGGCAGTATTTGTTCAGATGGCCGTTGCTGGAGACAGGGCTCTTGGGCGATGATGCCAGATGCTGCGTATAGGCCGAAGGAGTTGCTGCTCACGCTTAGCTTATTGCCGGCGTTGTGCAGCAGATTGTTACAGTTCTTGCCGCTGATCTTGGCCGCCAGCGAGTGCGACACCGGCCGACTTTTGCCCGTCGTCGGTATCGTGTTGCTGCTGCTGCTAGCCGCCCTGTACTCCTTGTCGTCGCTCTCGCTGCGCACCGATGCTCGATACGCAGTAAATGTCTTCGTCTTGCTCTTCAGCGAGCCGTTCAGCAGTAGCTGCTGTTGCCGTGCGGCAACTGCCGACAATGCCGGCAGCTGCAGTTGACGTGACGCCGCTGCCGATGAGGATGAGGATGAGCCGGCAGCTGTGGCAGGTGTCGACAGAGATGGGCAGCGGTTGGAGCAACCTGTGGCTGTGAAACTTCTTGAATTAATGCAGTTGGCGGTGTTTTGGGGATTTCTTGACTTGGTTCTAGTATGGATGAAGAGTCGCTTGGCTCTGCCGCCGCGAAGAGTTCGTTAGTTGTTGCTGGCTGATGAGCTTCTACTGTTGGTGGTGGTGCCGTGAACAAGGGGGTTTCCTCAACGATTCCGCTTGTAGATTTGCATGCTGTGGTTCTGGCTTAGCATCCAACTATGGGGCGAATAGAGCTGTTGCTGGTTCTTGTGGACGACAGGATAAATCGTAATTTTTCTGCAGGCTTTTTTAATTTTTGGGAATTTGGTTATAAAATGTATAGTGTTGACGGATTCCTCTAGCCAAATTGATTTTAAATCTGAGGAGTCCAAAATGTTTGGGCTAACAATGAGCCTTCGCGAGAGTAATAGCAAGCATTAAACTTTGCAACTCGATCGTCCGCATTCTGTTTCTGGACAGTGTTTCAGTGTTTCAAATAAATAAATCAATTTGTGAGTTTTGGCTATCCCGAGAACTCCATTGACAGCAAATGTTAACTGGTTAAGCTGGTCTTGAACCTCAGTGTTTACTTCTATCCGTCTACTGTCGGCATTCATTAGTCGCATTTCAGTGGACCTAATCTACTCTAAATGACCGGCATCGGGTGTACCCGCCACCAAATTGTTTTATAAAAATTATGCCAAGTGGCTAAAGGTAAATTGAAAAACTATATCTAACTTATTCTAAATTGCCTAGCGGCTTATAATAAAAGGTGTAATAAAAAAACAAGGGAGTCATCTTAGGTTGTCCTTGTGGACCACCCTTCCTTTAATGAGGACCTCGGTCCCCAGGTCTGCTTCCACGGCCTTCTCGACACATAAAGGTGTGAGTTTGTTTCCGAGCCGTCGGTTGGACTTGACCAAATCCTTGTCACCAACATCGAAGACTCTATTCTGCCGCTTTGCGTTCTCCCTAGCTCTGAGCGTCGTCTGAGCGTTTCTGATCTTTTCTTCTATCTTTTCTTGTGGCTCTTGTTTTTTGGGGTGTCTATCATACTTAGCCCTAGCACATGTTTTGCAGTTTTGTACTATTTCCTTGGCAATTTTTGCCATCCGTGGAAAGTAGTACTCCGAGAGTACCTGCTTAACATTTTCCTGTGCAGACCTATGGGCCCTATTATGCTCGACTGTGAGGATTTCCCTTCCTTCTCCAACCGCAAATATGTCCACTACGCGATTTTTGCAATGCCAGAACTTTGTGGCTGGGTATCTTCGCACCAATGCATCTTGTATCATTGCAAGCGTGTGTAAATTACAGTGGAGAGCATTTACGCATTTGGGTGAGACTACATCTTCGAGCTCGTCTAGCAGCGATTCGACGCATGTATAGCTGATCAAGTAGCGTTTCTTATTTCCAAAAAGAATAAAACTTCGTTTTAAGGGGAAACGCGCCTCTTCTAGCACTATCTGGTTTTGAAAACAGTTCAAGGGTTTGTCTGTCGTCTCAATGGTGTTGGTGAGAGATACCTCACTGTGGATCGTTGCTGCGCAGGACTCAATTTCTTGCTCATTTATAGCGTTGAGCTGCTGTCTTGACAAGGCATCCGCAACCAGATTGTCCTTGCCAGGTTTATAGAAGATACGTGCATTAGACTCGTCAATGCGCGCTTTCCACCTTTTGATTTTCGCATTTGGATTAGATTCCGAAACTGCGAAGGTCAAGGGTTGATGGTCAGTGAAGATATTAATGTCTTTCACCCCATACAAATAGTGCCTTAATTTGGCAAGTGACCATACAATGGCCAATAACTCTCTCTCATTGGTTGCATAGTTAACCTCACTGTCCTTCAATGTTCTTGAAATCATTGTTATAGGACGACCCTCTTGAGACAAAACTGCACCTATGCCGTGAGCCGAAGCATCGGTCGTTAGATCGAATGGCTTCTTAAAATCGGGGTACCTGAGCATTACATTCTCGGATGACAAAATATCGCGCAACTTCTGAAATGCCCTCTGCTGCACTTCAGAGAATTGAACCTTTATATTTCTGGACCTATGCTTACTGACTGTTCCATTTTCACCCTTCAGGATATTCGAGATGGGTCTTGCTATTGCGGCGAAGTCCCTAATGAAACATCTGTAATAACTTGCGAGGCCTAGAAATGATCTAACCTCGAACAGCGTTTTTGGTTCTGGATACTCCTGTATTGCCCTAACCTTTTCAGGATCCGTCGTGGTGCCAGTGCTGGTGACTACGAAACCAAGAAAGTTCACGCTTTTCTTAAAAAAACGTGACTTTTTGACGGAGACCCTCATGTTTGCTTTGTATAAGCTTTTTAGGACCCGATCCACGTGTTTAATGTGGGATTCCTCATCTTCTGAAAAGATGATTACGTCATTGACATCAACATAGCAAAATTTGCCAATCTGCTCTCGCAGTATGTCGTCGATGGTTCTTTGAAAAATGCTTGCTGCATTCTTTAATCCAAAGGGGAGTCTTTTGAACTCGTATTTCCCCCCGTTCACAGAGAAAGAGGTTTTTTCACGGTCGCGTTCAGCGAGTATGATCTGGTGATAACCAGACTTGAGGTCTAATGTTGAAAAGAATTTGGCTCTCCCCAAATTCCCCAATATCATTGATATATTTGGCATAGGGTATTTGTCCGGCACGGTTTTTTCGTTAAGTTTACGAAAGTCCATTACCAACCTCATTTTCCTATTGCCCGCTTCATAAGTGCCCTTCTTGTCTACTACCCATATTGGGTTATTGTAGGGAGAGACGGACTTTTGAATTATATCATTCTTTAGTAGATCTTTGATTTCTTTATTAACGAAATCAGCCGCTCCCATTGGATATGGGTAAAGCTTGGTATAGATCGGTTGCTCATCTATGGTCCTAATGGTAGCCACGACTGATGTGTTATACGGCAACGTCTCGTCTGGGTCTGCAAAGGCCTTTTGTCTGGTCTTCAGCATTTTCAAAAAAGAACTTCTAACTAATGGGGATGCATCTGCTATTTGTTCAGCTAACTCATTAATTCTTTGAGTCAATGCATGCTCCCTCTGCTGGTTTACAGCAGCCTGTTCGGCTAAAGCTTTGCTGATAGCCGTCCTTATTACTTCCGTAAGCTGATCTACATCCATTCTACCTGATGGTGGG